GGGCGGGCCCGGCCCCGCGCTGGCCGCGGCGCGCCGCAAGGACGGCGGCCCGGCCGGCAAGTTCTGGGAGAGCCCCGACACCGTGTCCCAGCTCGACTCGGTCCGCGTGTGGCTGGGGAAGCACTACAAGAAGGTGCGGCCCGGCGGGGGCGGCGGGCACCGGGCGGGCGGGGGACGGCCGGGGATGGGACGGGGCGGGGGGCGGAGGTTTCCGCCGCTCTTTGTGACCCGCGGCCTCGCCGCTGCGGCGAGCTCGGGGGCAGCCCCGGGCACATTTCCGCTCCCTCCGCTGCCCGGGGCCGTGCGTGGGGCAGCCCCGGTGGCCCCGGGCCGTTCCCGCCGCCCGCCCGCCCCAGGCAGTGACTCTCCTGTGCGGGCAGGTCCCGGCCCCGCTGGGTTTCGCTCCAGCCGCGCCCCGGCGGTGTGGGGAGCGCTGGGAAGGGAGGAAAACCCCGGGAGCCGCGCTGAGCCCCGCGTGCTGCCCGAGCTCCTTGCGGCTGCTGCCCTGGGGCTCCTCTTCCGCTTCGCTCGCCTCGCCTGCCTCGCTTGCTTTATGTGCTTTTTTTCCTCCCACCACGTGCTGATTTTATAACTTCGTGTCGGTGCCCGAGCCATGAGGAACGGCCCGGTGTAACTTGGCCGCGGCGGTGCTGGAGGAGCGCTGCCCGGCAGAATGCCCGCGCCCTCCCGGTTCCGGGGCCGTCCCGGTGCCCGTCACCCGCGGAGGAGCACCGGCTGGCGCTGGGGCTCTTTGTGTGCGGAGAGCCCGAGAACGGCAGTCCGAACCGGGGGTCTGAGCTGCTCTGCGGGGTGAAGGCGGCTCGGGTGTGTTTTTCCAGTCCTTCCAGCTCCTTCCAGCCCGGCTCGGGGTGTGGAGCTGGGGCTCTTTGTGTTGACAGGGCAATGTAACAGAATATTTGTGCAGTTTGGCTGGTTGCGGTGCTGTCCCACGCCCTGGGGGAGCTGTGGTTTTCCCTTTGCCTGTCCTGGCCCAGCACCCCCGGGATCCCGGGAATTCGCTGTTCTGAGCGGGGCCCAGGTGCCCTGCTGGGCACAGAAAGTGTTTGTGTGGCTCTAAACCCCCTGCCAGGCTGGGCAGGGGCTGTGTGGTGCAGCAATGGGAGCCAAGGGAAAAACCCTCCTTTCAAATTGCTAATAATAATAATATTGCTACTATTATTATTATTGTTATTCTATTATATAAGTTATCTTATTCTATTATGAATTGTTATAAAAATTAGATATTTCTTTCTCCTGGCTCTGGAAGGTAATTAGAGTTGGGCTAAGGAGACTCTGCAGGGCGAGTGAGTTTTGGAGTGTTGCTGTGACAATCGTTTTAAAAAATGAAAAGTAATTTTGGTTTGGGGAAACAAGAAAGCTGATATCAGTGCTTACAGATGGAGCCTTAACACTTCAGAGGGAAGGGCTGGTTGCCTTTTGGGTGGGCTGTAAATGGACTCTGGTTCATCCTGTGCTTGTTTTCATCCTGCTGTAGGTGCGTGGCTCCTTCCAGAGAGGTACATGGTGATTTTAACTGGCTTTTGTCCAGTTTTTGCTCTTAAAAATAGAAGTTTGTACGTCTCAGTGGTGAAGCTGTCAGCAGCAGTTGGTGTGTCCAGCTCCAGGGACACTGGGGACCAGCTGGAGACAATCCCAGAGCAGCACCGAGCTCGGTCAGGGACCCAGAGGTCCCAAGGGACAGGGAGAGTAGGAGAGCTGCATTTACAGAGCTGCTCATTTTGACTCTGGATTAGGCAAGACTTAAATATTGAAGTGTTTTCTGTGTTTCCAGAGTACAGTAGCTGTTGGGGAGCTCTCTGTGTCTCTAGAAAACAGCAGATATTAGGGGGCTCTCTGTGTCTCTGGAAAACAGCAGATGTTGGGGAGCTCCCTGTGTCTCTAGAAAACAGCAGCTGTTGGGGAGCTCTCTGTGTCTCTAGAAAACAGCAGATGCTGGGGAGCTCCCTGTGTCTCTAGAAAACAGCAGATATTGGGGAGCTCTCTGTGTCTCCAGAAAACAGCAGATGTTGGGGAGCTCCCTGTGTCTCTAGAAAACAGCAGATGTTGGGGGGCTCCCTGTGTCTCTAGAAAACAGCAGATGTTGGGGGGCTCCCTGTGTCTCTAGAAAACAGCAGATATTGGGGAGCTCTCTGTGTCTCTAGAAAACAGCAGATGTTGGGGAGCTCTCTGTGTCTCTAGAAAACAGCAGATATTGGGGAGCTCCCTGTGTCTCCAGAGTACAATTAAGAACAAAAGAGGTTTCAGTACTAGTGTGAAAGACTGACACTGCACCTTGAAAAACTCATTACAGGCACCAAACACAGTGACAGAAAATGAAATTATTGATAATGTACTGAGCTGATTTATTCCAGGCTGCCTCCCGCTCCCAGTTTGTGTGTGTGATGTCTGGAAGTTGGTTTGTGTTGTTTCTGTGCACCAAGGGATGCAGGAGGTGCCTTCCCAGGCAGTGTGGGTGCAGGAGGGATGTTGGAGCCTTGCTTCCCTGGGAGCTGGGAATGGGTTTGTGCCGTGGGTTTGGAATCCTGAGGCATCTGACAGACTTGAACAGAACAAAGTCCCAGGATCCTGGAATGGTTTGGGTGGGAAGGGGCCTTAAAGCCCATCCCATTCCACCCCTGCCATGGGCAGGGACACCTTCCACTGTCTCAGGCGCCAAACCCCGTCCAGCCTGGCCTTGGGCACATCCAGGGGAAGCCACAGCTGCTCTGGGCACCCTGTGCCAAGGCTCCTCACCCTCCCAGCCAGGAATTCCTTCCCAGTATCCCATCTTACCCTTCCCTATGGCAGTGGGAAGCCGTTCCCTGTGTCCTGTCCCTCCATCCCATGTTCAAAGTAATTTGGGTAGACTGTAATGGGCACCTTGATGCCCATTATATATATAATATAGTTACTTAGAAACTCACAGTTCAGAAGTAAACTGGGCAATTCTCTATTTATTATATTAATGGTCATTTATCTATAGCATTGTTTAGGCAGTTCCTTTCTCAGTAAGCCACATCTCTCATATTAAAATGGGGTGTCCCAAAGCAGTAATTTATTGTCTTGTCTCTAGGAAACAGCAGATATTGGGGAGCTCGCTGTGTCTCCAGAGTAGAATTAAGAACAAAGGAGGTTTCAGTACTAGTGTGAAAGACTGACACTGCACCTTGAAAAAATCATTACAGGCACCAAACACAGTGACAGAAAATGAAATTATTGATAATGTACTGAGCTGATTTATTCCAGGCTGCCTCCCGCTCCCAGTTTGTGTGTGTGATGTCTGGAAGTTGGTTTGTGTTGTTTCTGTGCACCAAGGGATGCAGGAGGTGCCTTCCCAGGCAGTGTGGGTGCAGGAGGGATGTTGGAGCCTTGCTTCCCTGGGAGCTGGGAATGGGTTTGTGCCGTGGGTTTGGAATCCTGAGGCATCTGACAGACTTGAACAGAACAAAGTCCCAGGATCCTGGAATGGTTTGGGTGGGAAGGGGCCTTAAAGCCCATCCCATTCCACCCCTGCCATGGGCAGGGACACCTTCCACTGTCTCAGGCTCCAAACCCTGTCCAGCCTTGCCTTGGGCACATCCAGGGGCAGCCACAGCTGCTCTGGGCACCCTGTGCCAAGGCTCCTCACCCTCCCAGCCAGGACTTCCTTCCCAGTATCCCATCTTACCCTTCCCTATGGCAGTGGGAAGCCATTCCCTGTGTCCTGTCCCTCCATCCCATGTTCAAAGTAATTTGGGTAGACTGTAATGGGCACCTTGATGCCCATTATATATATAATATAGTTACTTAGAAACTCAGTTCAGAAGTATACTGGGCAATTCTCTATTTATTAAATTAATGGTCATTTATCTATAGCATTGTTTAGGCAGTTCCTTTCTCAGTAAGCCACATCTCTCATATTAAAATGGGGTGTCCCAAAGCAGTAATTTATTGTCTGTAAGACCTATTTCTAAGGTGGTTTGGGAGGGTTTTTAGCAGCTGCCTGATGAAGGATGCAGCCCCTGACCTTGGTCTTGCAGCTGTGCTCCCTGAGGAACCAGCCCAGTGTGTTGTTCATATCCAGGGCAGTATCCAGATCCGTATCCATCTGTTGACCCTGGGAGCTCTGGTGGCTCTGGCTGCTCTGCCCCTCTGAGACAAAAGGCCGGAGCAGCTGATTTTTGGGAGGCAGGAGGATTTTTTAAGGTGGTTTTTAAGGAGCAAGTGGGATGTTGGTTAGAGGGGATCAGGCACAGATCAGCACAGGAGCTCTGGGGCAGAGCTGGGACCCGCTTGCCCCTCGGAGAGGGCTCTGTGCAATCCCTGAGCTGGGGGGGATGCCCTGGGGGGGTCTGCAGGGCAGAGCTGGGCTCTCCTCCTCCCTGCCGTGGGTATCCCGGAGCAGGGCACAGGCTGGTTCCTGGCAGCTGCTGGGGACAGCAGTTGTGCCATCAGCGTGTCAGGCTGGCACCACCTGCTGTCCCCAGGGGCTGCCCTGGCACTGTCTGTGGCTCTGCTGTCCTTGGCAGGACCCTGCCTCGGCTTGGATCCAGGGAGGGGTCTGTCTGCAGCTCTCACCTTTGAAAAGGAACAAGGGTTTGACCCAAATCCAAGCATTTCAGGGCGGGTTTCCCCTTGGCTCTTGTGTGGTGCTCTGAGCTGCAGTGCCCTTTGTTTGGGGAGGGTGTGTGCACAGAGCCACAGCAGAGCTGATGTGGGTATTGAGCTCAGTGCCCACATCAAAGCTGGCTCTGATATGTCCCCCTTCGGTGACAAATGCTTCCAGGGCAGCTGCAGTGCAGCTCTGGCTGCAGTGATTCCCTCTGCTGCTGCTCACACTCTGCTTCCTGACCACTCATTTTCTGTTCAGAGATAGGGGGTGGTTTTGTGTTTCTAATTATTGTGGAAAGGTTGGAAAACTCTGCTGTGCCAGTGGGGCTTTGGCATTTCAGCATGAGAGCAAAATCCTCTTATGGAACAGGGCATCATACTGTCCTCTGGAATTCATTGCTTAAAAACCTTTATTTGCTGCAGGATCATTTTGTGGACATGAGGGGAGAACCTGGAGTTCTGTTGGACTTGATCCTCTGTGGTCCCTCAAACCCACTGTGAATTGATTGGAAAATGGTCTGCTGTGTTTTACTGCTTAAAGACCCATTTGTGCTGCTCATTAGGATGCAGAAAAGATGGAGGGGAGTCTTGGGCTTCTTTTTGAAGGTTTTTCCCCTTATTGTTCAGGGAACCTCAGGCAAGGTAATGGGCTTCTCATTAAAAGGATCTGCAGGATAGTGGCAGTGCAAAGCAGGATGAGAAGGTGTTGTCTTCCTTTATAGCTTCCAGCTGTCAGTGCCTCCTGCAAGAGGTAAAACTGGGAGCTGCAAGAAAAGGAATGATTGTCTGAAAAAGTTCACATGTCTAAGAATAGGCTTTGCAAGGTGCATTCTCATGTAATTTTCCTTTTTCTCTGAAGGAAGATAACTGGAAAAAAAAAAAGCAGAGTAAGTCAGTACAAGGATGCCACTTCTGGATTTGTTTTTTGAAGGAGGTTCATAAAATCCCAGGCTGGTTTGGGTTGGAGGGACCTTAAGGATCATCCAGTGTCACCCCTGCCATGGCAGGGACACCTCCCACTGTCCCAGGCTGCTCCAAGCCCCATCCAGCCTGGCCTTGGGCACTGCCAGGGATCCAGGGACAGCCACAGCTGCTCTGGGCACCTGTGCCAGGGGCTGCCCACCCTCCAGCCAGGAATTCCTTCCCGATATCCCATCCATCCCTGCCCTCTGGCAGTGGGAAGCTGTTCCCTCTTGTCCAAAGTCCTGTGCAGAGCCAGGAGTTGGACTCAGTGATCTTTGTGGATCCCTTCCAACTGGGGATATTCTGTGATTTTGATATAATTAAAACATTAATTCCTGGGGGAGGGAAGAGGCCAAATTGAAATGCAGCTTTGAAATGTTACCCTTCAGTTCTTTCCAGGCTCGTGTTTCTGGTTCAGGATTTATACCCAGGACACTCAGGAGCCCCACAGGAATTTGTGTCCTTTGAGTTGGGAAGATTTAATTTCTCTGATATGTGCCTGCTCCTGAGAAACTGCTGGGGGAACTCTCATCTCAGGGTGGTCAGACACTGAAACTGTAATTGTTTCCATTCACTCTGAGTCTTTGTGGTGCCTTTGGCTTTGGAGCTGATGCTTTGCAAAGCTCACTTAGGTTTGACTGGTATTTGGCACCACAGCTTTAAAACTTGGAGGGTATGGGTCTCAAAAGCTTTTTCTTTAAGGGGTTTTAGAAGAATCTTATTTGAGGGAAGATGAAAAGCTGAGAGTTACCCAGCTGAGAGGCTGGGGTAGCTCAGATTGCTCCATGTTCTACCTGGAAAAGTGATGTGTGTTGTCCTCTTGGCAGTCACCTGGCACAGCAAGGAGGTGACATCCAGTGACTGAATACTGAACAGTAGGGGTGACAAAAACTCAGCACCGTGGGAAGGGTGTAGTGTTCCATGTTGTGATTTTACATTCACAATGTAAATTTAATTTTATTGAGCCTCAGGAGCTGCTCAGATTGTCCCAAACCATCACAAGCGCCTTTGTGTGGCTCAGCTTTTCCCTCTGTGCAGGACATCCTATTTATACCAGAGGGCTGCTCTGAGGATTAATTGGGAGATGCTTACAGCAGGAGGCTGTGAGGTGGCTGCAGAAAGCTCTGTGTGTGTGGGCAGCACGAGCCTGGTCCTTGATTAGGAGCTGAGATCAGCCTGAGTGGTTAATCCGTGTCTGGAGCCCGGCTGGGGAGCTGGGCCTCAGCCACAGGTGAGGATGGATGTTCAGCCTGAAGCCTGGAAAACGGTTGTGCTCGGTGCTCCTCCTGTGCAATCCCCCTCCACCCCTTCCCAGCCACGCAGGGATCCCAAAATGCTACAACTGTGCCCTGCAGGAGGGAGCTGGGGTGTCACAGGCAGCCTTCACTGCGGCCTCCCTGTCCCCAACAACCTGTGCTTCTTGTCTTGCAGTACGTTCAGGCCGATGCTCCTACCAATAAAACCTTGGCTGGGCTGGTGGTGCAGCTGCTGCAGTTCCAGGAAGATGCCTTTGGAAAACATGTCACCAATCCTGCCTTCACAAAGCTTCCTGTGAGTATTGTGCTGGGGCTCTCACTCTGCTGGCACAGCTCAGTGTCCGGGGCACTGGGACATCCCTGCCCAGCCCAGCTCCTCCTGCTGCACCCTCTGGAAGGGCTGCCTCTCCTTAGTGCACATTTGTGGTGTAATGCAGCTGCTTCTCTACATTTGAAATGATTTCTGGAATGCTGTGGGAAGGTTTTTATTTTCACTAAAACTCAGTGTAATTCATCAGTTTTAAGTCAAATCTGGACTGGTGCATCCTAAACTGAGTGAGTAAAATGCACTTTCCAAGGCACACAAACTGCCACTAGGTGTTTTGGTTGATTAAACTCCGGGCTTGTGGAGTTGCCAAGGCTGAGAAAGGACTTTGCCACGTTCTGCAGCAGCAGGTGGTGACTCCTGGCCCTGGGATGGTTCTCCAGTCCCCTGGGATCCAGGTAGCCAGGAACAATATCAGCACTGTGAGGGCTGCTGCTTCCAAAGTGCAGCCTGGAGCCCTGCCCGCACCCAGAGGGTCCTGTCCCGGGGAGTGTGGGGTGCAGAGAGCTGGGAGGAGGGCAGGGGTGCCAGCCTGATGCCAGCTGGGTGCTTTAGGGAGGTCTGTGGGCCAGGACAGCTGTCCTGATCCTGTCAGTGTGGCACCAGCAGGGAGGTGTGTGCCCAGCTTTGCCACAGATGTGTGCTGGCACTGGGGCCGTGCCTCTGGGGCTCTTTGGGGTGGGTGCACAGAGATGGAATCATTTATGGCCAGTTAAGGGGTTGAAGCCCCTTGAAGCTGAAGTTGGCCTGAAAACTTGGCAGAGCTCCTGTGGCTGTGGGTGCACGTGGCAGGACAGTCCTTTTTTTGTTCTGGGTTGGTGTCCCCAGGTGTTTTGCCCCTGTAACCTCTCCATGAGGGTGGGCTGTGCAGACTCCTTCACTGGAAGGGTTTTCACTCCTGGGGTGAATCCCAGAACAGTTCCCAGATGGATTTTAAAAGGAATCCTTCCTTTTGAGAGCGGGGAGGCCCTGGCACAGGTGCCCAGAGCAGCTGTGGCTACCCCTGGATCCCTGGCAGTGCCCAGGCCAGGCTGGACACTGGAGCAGCCTGGGACAGTGGGAGATGTCCCTGCCCACAGCATGGGGAGTACTGGCTGAACCTTAAGGTCCCTGCAACCCACACCATTTTGGGATTTTGTGAATCTCCTGGTGCTTTGGAGAGCACCCAGAAGCACCCCAAGGTGCCATTAAGATCTCACCACCTCTCCTGATGCCTCAGTGATAGTGGGAAGCTTCAGGGACAAGGGGAGCTTTGCAGAGCTTTATTTGGATGTGGCAGCACAAACCATAAACCTGCCCGCATTCCTCAAGTGCATAAACCACTGGAGTGCCCCTGAGCCTTAAATCAATTTGTCTTATCTTAAAATGGGCAATAAACGTTGCAGTGGCATCATAAAGATGTTGTTCCTGTGTTTGTTCTCGCTGCTTCAAAGCTCTAATCCGGCCAAATTTGCTCAGTTAATTTACAGCACTTGGATCTCAGTTACTTGCAGCAGGAGACAGCTCCTCTGTGCATCCTCAGGAGTGCTGCTGGCTGGGGGGGGTCTCCTGCTCCCAGCAGAAAGCTCCTGGTGGTAACCAGAGCCTGGCCTCTGAGCAGCTCCCCAGATTCTGCTTCGTGCCTTATACAAGTTTTTTACATTTACTGAGAAACACAGAATAATCCACAACCAAAGCAGATCCTGGTGTTACCCCTCCCTGTCCTGCCTTCAGCCCCATCCTCCTGTCTCCATTTCCAGGAGGACTCTGCCAGCAGCTGCCTTTTCCCAGGCACAGCCATCCTGACCAGAGAGAGCAGGAAAGATGCACGTTCCAGACTCAAATGTATCAGAAAAATTGGGCTTTTGTTCAGGAAACAGGTGTTTTTTTAATAACCTTTCAGAGAAAGGACTTGGTGGGACTCTGAAGCTTGCAGCCTCCTCGTGCTCCTGTTTGAATGTTGTGGGACTCCTCCTTTGGGAATGGGTGACTAAGGTGAAGCTGGGAGGGCAGAAATGAGCTGGGTTTGGTGTTTTAGGGCACATGTGCAGCTCCTGACACACAGCTTTCCCTGGGGGAGGGATGGAGTGTGGAATAGCTGAGCTCTGCTGCAGGTGCTCATTCCTCATGATCTGGTTTGATGCTCTCATACAGATGAAAAGCTGCTTCTCTGACAGCTACGATTTGAGGTTTAATTTACTATGAAATGGGTGTTCAAAAAGTGCTTTGGATTTTTACAGCTCTACTTGGAGCTTTCAGATACATCAAGTTCTTGCAAACACAAAGAATTCTGCTTAATCCAAATACATTTAATCTTCAGGAAACACTCTGAAAGGAGGACCTCAAACTCAGAAGTGTTTCATCTGAAAATTAACTTGTCATTTGATATGTTCTGTGTCTGAAACTCACCTAACCCATCTGCATTTGTTTAAAATAATTGCATGAAAGTCAATGTAATTGTTTTTCCTTTTTTTCTGGGTTTCAGGCAAAGTGCTTCATGGATTTCAAAGCTGGAGGTACATTGTGTCACATTCTTGGTGCTGCTTACAAATATAAGAATGAACAGGGCTGGTAAGTTTTTATTTGTGGTTTATACACCTTTTGCATGAAACCAAGCACATGAACTGCTTATGCAAACTACCTGAAGTTTAATCCTTCCTGGAGACTCTGGCAGGCAAGGCAGTGGAGATGGGAAGAGGGAGCTTTTTCCTGTTTTGCTGATGGTAGCTTTTTTAAGACACTCCCCCACACTTCTAAATTTAAAGAGGAGTTGGCCAAGTTTAAGGTTTTGGGTCTGTAGTTGGAGTTAATTACAAGTTTGAGGCTCCTTTTTTATTTCCTTGCTGTCTGACTGAGAAAATGAACCAGGATCAGTCTCACATCTGTGAGATCTAAATCTTTGTTGCTGCATTGATTATTTGGTTTAGTTATGATTGGGAAAGCATGAGGCACTGCAGGTCCTAGTGAATGCTCAGGTTTCCATTGCTCCAAAAATGGGGAGTGTAAGTACTTAGAAACTCTGCCCCTGGAGCTGTTGGTACTGGGATGAAAATATCCCTGTGACATCTCAGGAGTGGTTTAACCTGGGTGGTTTTAAGTTATAATCCTCTTTCCGAGGGAGCAGCAGCATAGGATCATAAAATCTTGGAATGGTTTGGGCTGGAAGGGCCCCTAAAGCCCATCCAGTGCCACCCCTGCCATGGCAGGGACACCTTCCACTGTCCCAGGCTGCTCCCAGCCCCGGTGTCCAACTTGGCCTTGAAATCACTATTTTTGAGAACACTGGGCAAAAAAAATGAGGATGAAAAGTCAATAAATGTGAACAATCAATAACAATAAGCAGAGATTGTTCCTGTCCCCAAATTTAAATAATTTGGATGTGATGTTTCCAATCTGTAGCTGCATTCCTGGAATTGACTGAGTTGTTTTTACACACAAGAGCCATTTAAAAGGCAAAAGAAAGATTTTTGAGAATGGTTGGTTGTTTTTCGGAATTATTTATATTAATATCTGCCCTGTCTGAGGTGGATATATCAGGAATAAACCACTCTCAGGGGCTTTGCTGTTCCAATCTTACCAACACCTGGGGCAGGCACCTCTCTGCAGTGTGGTTTATCAGCAGTGTCTTGCTACCTCTTTGCCTTAAGATACAGGAATTAAATGGTTCCAGCTTTGGGAACATTTGAATTGAATGAACATTTCTTATTTTTAATAAGGAAATGTGGTTTGCAGCCAGCTGCCCAGCCCAGCTGGGCTCTGGAGCTGCCTCCTCCCCTGTCCCTGCCTTGCTGCTGCTCAGGATTAGGTGGGTAGTGCCTGGTGTGTGTGCATGTGGGCTGTAGCGGGCAGTAATCCTGCACCTTAACTCTGAGATCAGCCCTAGAGCCTGGAATGTGTCCCCACTGACTCTGCCAAGTAATCCGTGCTGTTTGCCTGCCCTGTGCTTGATTTGATTTTTGTTTTGGTCTGCATTGTCGCTCCTGCTTAACCTGTTTGTGACTGATCTGTCTTATAGGAGAAGTCCCTTTCCTCGCCACAATAGGTATGTCTGAGAGCTGGACATACATACCTGGCCCAGCCTGGCCCAGGGAGCCTCTTAAGCTGAGCACAGGAAGAGTTAGTGCCATTTTATCCAAATGGGCAGCTGAAACAGTGCTGTTATTCATGTGTCCGTGTCCTTCTCTGGCTTTCTGGAGCAGGCAGGGAGCTGGGGGCATGCAGCATTCCATGGATGCACAGTGCAGGTTTTGAGCAAAAAATGGCAACATTCTGGTCATGCCCTGGGCGTCTTTGTCTCACAGGTGCCAAGAGGTCTGTAGGTGTTTATTTGGCATCTGTCTCCCATGGAGCCATTCTGGGTGTTTTGGATGCAGGCCATGGCTGAATACTGGAGAAGGGGCTCAATCTTGACTCAAAATCCTCTGTATTAGAGGTGTAAAATACCTTATTAACAGTGGCCTTACAGCCTTGGCGTCTGGCCCTGCTTTTGCAAGTCAGAGTGAACTTCCCAAAGCACACAACAAGGTCATAAATTCCTCTCTAAAGGGCTGATTCCAATAAATATGCCAGGATCTTACATTTGATTTGTTTGCCATGTCCTCAGTGTGAAGGGTAACGTGCTTTAGGACAGAAACCATCCTCCCTGAGAGAGGATGTTGGTAGAGCTGCCCACACCTCAGAGTGTTCCCAGAGAACACCTGCCTGGGCTCCTTCCTCCTGAAAGTCCCTGGAGCCCTGGAGGAGATCGTGGTGGTCCCAGCTGGGGTGTCACTGGGGTTTGATTTAGTGGGGTCACATCCTGGTGTGCTCACAGGGCTTGGGGCTAAAAGCCTTGGGGCTAAAGCTTTGCTTTCCTGAACCTTCTCTGAGCCTGTGTGGACTGGAAAAAGGGATCTGTTGCTGGCAGCAGGGATGTGTTTACAGGGAACTGCTCTTGGCTGTGAAGGGCTGGTGTGAGCTGGGTGGGATTGCAGCCTGTCAGTGCCTCGTGGGGAGGACATCCCCAGCCTCCCACTGCACTGGGTGTGCAGGGCTTTGTGCTTCACACCTGCCACCACCCCACGCCCCAGCAGCAGCGTGTTCCCAAACCTGGAGCTGCAGGCATGCTCCAGGTCGTGTCCTGCATCTGGGAGACACAGCCTGAGGGCTCAGCCCCTCCTGGAGCTGTGGGAAAGGCCGGATCCTCAGGGCCCAGCTCTCCTGGAGCTGTGGGAAAGGCCGGATCCTCAGGGCCCAGCTCTCCTGGAGCTGTGGGAAAGGCCGGATCCTCAGGGCCCAGCTCTCCTGGAGCTGTGGGAAAGGCCGGATCCTCAGGGCCCAGCTCTCCTGGAGCTGTGGGAAAGGCCGGATCCTCAGGGCCCAGCTCTCCTGGAGCTGTGGGAAAGGCCGGATCCTCAGGGCCCAGCTCTCCTGGAGCTGTGGGAAAGGCCGGATCCTCAGGGCCCAGCTCTCCTGGAGCTGTGGGAAAGGCCGGATCCTCAGGGCCCAGCTCTCCTGGAGCTGTGGGAAAGGCCGGATCCTCAGGGCCCAGCTCTCCTGGAGCTGTGGGAAAGGCCGGATCCTCAGGGCCCAGCTCTCCTGGAGCTGTGGGAAAGGCCGGATCCTCAGGGCCCAGCTCTCCTGGAGCTGTGGGAAAGGCCGGATCCTCAGGGCCCAGCTCTCCTGGAGCTGTGGGAAAGGCCGGATCCTCAGGGCCCAGCTCTCCTGGAGCTGTGGGAAAGGCCGGATCCTCAGGGCCCAGCTCTCCTGGAGCTGTGGGAAAGGCCGGATCCTCAGGGCCCAGCTCTCCTGGAGCTGTGGGAAAGGCCGGATCCTCAGGGCCCAGCTCTCCTGGAGCTGTGGGAAAGGCCGGATCCTCAGGGCCCAGCTCTCCTGGAGCTGTGGGAAAGGCCGGATCCTCAGGGCCCAGCTCTCCTGGAGCTGTGGGAAAGGCCGGATCCTCAGGGCCCAGCTCTCCTGGAGCTGTGGGAAAGGCCGGATCCTCAGGGCCCAGCTCTCCTGGAGCTGTGGGAAAGGCCGGATCCTCAGGGCCCAGCTCTCCTGGAGCTGTGGGAAAGGCCGGATCCTCAGGGCCCAGCTCTCCTGGAGCTGTGGGAAAGGCCGGATCCTCAGGGCCCAGCTCTCCTGGAGCTGTGGGAAAGGCCGGATCCTCAGGGCCCAGCTCTCCTGGAGCTGTGGGAAAGGCCGGATCCTCAGGGCCCAGCTCTCCTGGAGCTGTGGGAAAGGCCGGATCCTCAGGGCCCAGCTCTCCTGGAGCTGTGGGAAAGGCCGGATCCTCAGGGCCCAGCTCTCCTGGAGCTGTGGGAAAGGCCGGATCCTCAGGGCCCAGCTCTCCTGGAGCTGTGGGACAGGCTGGATTCTCAGGGCTCAGCATCTCCTGGAGCTTTAGGCTCAGCCCCAGCTCTGGCACTCCCTGGACAGGCTGGATCCTGAGGGCTCAGCATCTCCTGGAGCTTTAGGACAGGCTTTAGGCTCAGCCCCGGCTGTGGCACTCCCTGCTGCTGCTGGGAAGTGCTGGAGCTGCTTTGGGGCTGGGGTTGTCCCTCCTCAGGCTCTGGGTCACCACTCCAATCCCTCATTTGGGGTGGCCCATCTGTGAGTGCCGGACGTGTTCAGGGGTCAGGTGGGCACAGCACAGGGAATCTGGGGGCTTTTCTGCTGCCTCCCAGGAGGATTTCTCAGGTTTTGTGTCCTCCCCCATTTCTGATGGCCACATCTCCATTGGCATTGCAATAATTGTGATGATTTGTCCGTGGAATAACAAAATTAAAGCACCAGGGTCCAGTAAAGGTGGAGATACAGTGCTGCCATGGATTATTAGCTGTCTGTGTCCTGGGGGGTGGTTTTCTCACATCAGACAGAGGAATTGCTGCTTCTCTGGACTCCCAGGACTGGTGGATGGGGGCACCTAGAAGTAAGAAAACCATGAGAGCTCATCCATGAATTTTCTCATCTGATGTTGAAATCCGTGGTGGTTGTGTGTTTAATTACTCCCTGTGACTGTGGCAGAATGCACAGCCCTGCTGCAGGGTTTGGTGGACACTATCAACCTTCCTTTTTCTCCCTGAACATCTCACAAATCAACTGCATTTCTTGATGTGGTTCATGATGTTTTTTTTGCTGGTGAGGGTGCCAAGTGCAGCAGAAATAGCTGTGGCTGTGCTCGAGTGTCCTGGCACCCCTGCCACGATCCAGACTTTGTGTGGAGCAGGGAAGGTTCTGGACTGCTGGTGGCTGGGGACGTGGAGTTAATATTTGTGAATCATTTCCCTCGACAGGAGGAGGTTTGACCTGCAGAATCCCTCCCGGATGGACCGGAACGTGGAGATGTTCATGAACATTGAGAAAACACTGGTGCAGGCAAGGACAAACCCAGCCCAGGGCAGGCACCCAGGGCAGGACTTCACCCTGGCCCTCTCCAGGAATGGGGGGTCTCCCCTCCCTCTCCCACCCAGCTTAGTCACAATTCCACCTTTTCACTTGAAAAATGTGGAATTTTTCCATTGCCCCTCTGTGGATATGCAGACGTTTTTATTTTATTTATTTATGTGAGGAAAACCTGCTGTAAGGAAAGAGAAAACATGCCAGGTGTCCCCATGTCCCTGTGGCACTCTTGGGGCTGAGTAACTGCTCCTGTACCCATTCCAGGGCTGACTTCCAGTTTGATCTAAACTGGCCTTTTCCAGGTTAGGATCCATTTTACTCTCACTTTATCAGACAAGTGCTTATCTGTACCCATTAAGCAGTTCTGTGCAGTGTCATTTGAAGTTCAGTTTTTTAAGTGCTGAGTGGGAATAATGTATGGTTTTTTTCAGACTCTGAAGCCAAGTTCAGTGTATAATGTAGTCAAAACATAACTTTCAGGTGTCCATTAGGAATGGAAACAGGAAGAACAGCAAAAAACAACAATATTCTTATTACAAAAAAACCTTGCCCACGTACAGTGGTTTCAGTGCATGATAAAAACCTGGGCAGGGCTTTGTTGGGAAGCTGTGTGAAGGGAATGTCCCTGTCCCAGGGCTCCTGGAGCTGGGATCACTGACCTGTGTCACCCCCGGGTCTGTGTTCCACTGGAGTTCCAGCACTGGGGATTTTCATAGGAATAGTCTGATTTTTGCCACAGATCACCTCCTAATTCCTTGTTCAACTGGCTGTTCTCTCACAGAACAACTGTCTGAGCAGACCAACCATCTACCTCATTCCTGACATGGAGCTGAAGCTGGCCAACAAGCTGAAGGACATTGTCAAGCGTCACCAGGTGAGTGTCACACAGCACAGCTGTACCCAGGGCTGCTCAGCTCTGAGCCCCGGGGTGCCTGGGGACACAGGAGTGGTTTTTATCCTCACACAGAGGCTGAGCCCTGGCTGGGCTCTAAAAGCACCCCTGGACCTGCTGCCAGGTGGCTCTGGGGGAGCTGGGGGCAGGCCCAGCTGATTTGTTGCTCAGCACAGGTTTGTCCAAACCTGGGTCTGAAGCAGGGAGTGAGGCAGCTGTTCCAGATGTGTGGGACAGCAGAAGGAGGTTTCACTCTGAAATGGTCGTTGGTTTTTGCTTTATTTCACTCTTTGATTGCTGGTGCTGAGCAGAGTCCAGGCAGCCTCAGGGAACCTTGCCCTTGTAATTCCAGGTGCTAAAGGATGACTTGAGCAAGATTACTGGCTTCATCCTTAAAAACATAAACAGACTTCTCACTTGTCTGCAGAGAAATACCCTGGAGTGTGACCTCTGGATGGTCTGGTGGCTTTTGTGGCAGGACAATTCACAGCTGTAGCCAAAGAGTTTCTTTTCCAGATTTAATGTATTTCCTGTGTTGTGATTATGAACCATTGTCTCAGCCTCAGTTGGGCAGATTTTCACAAGTTGCTCTTAATTATTTGGCTGATTCAGGATGGGTGTTATTGCTTAGATTAGAGTGAATGAGTCAATTTTCCTTTCATAAAGGAAGTCTGTAGTGAGCTCCACGCTGTATCCATGAGTGATTTAAAGGATTTTTAAAGCAGCTTTGTCTCTGCAGGGATGTGAGGAGATGAAAACAGAAATTGTCCCTAATTCTGCTTTTTGGGCTTTCCTTTGCTCTGCCTCTGGGTTCTCATCTTGTCACTAGCTTTGCTTCCTCATTGTCCTCATTTTTTAACCCCTTGCTGTCATCTCCCCACTACCCCACCCCGGTGCCTGTGGCTCCCTGCTATCCCAAGTCCTCCCTGCTCCAACTTCTGTTGTTTTCCAGCTCCCTCCAGAGTTGCTCCTGTCCCTTCCCTGGGCTGTGGGAGCTATTGCCCTTCAGCCCCTGATCCCAGAGTAGCCCACATCCCACAGTGCTGTTCTAATTCCTGCTGCTGCCATCCAGGGATAGGATCTGCAGGTCATTGAGGTCATTGTGCTGTTAAATCAATCTTTTACACATTTATGGGACGTAAGTTTTGACCACCAGCTGCCTTTTGGGGTGATATGCTGAGGGTTTCTCTTGCATTTTCTCCTCTTCTTCCATATTCCCACAGGGAACAGTCACTGAAGAGAAATCCAAGGCTACCCACCACGTGTATCCAAGTCCTACCTCAGTGGATGATGGTAATGTCCTGTGACAGTTTTTCAGTGGGAATATTCTTGTAATTAATGCCATGAGAAGCTGTGGAAGTGTTCACCAGGACTGTTCCCAGCCTACTCCTGAGGAACACTTGCTGCATTGTGGATAATGTGCATGGGGAGCTTTAGGCTGGACATGGGGTGAATTCCTCCTGCCCAGGGCAGGGGTGGAGTCCCAGTCCCTGGGGGGATTTCAGAGCTGATGTGGCACTTGGGGACACGGGACAGTGCTGAGGAGTGGCTGCACTCTGATCTTGGAGGGCTTTTCCAGCCTCAGCAATTCCTGATTCTGAGTTCCTGGCTCTCCAGGAGTTCTGTAGGGAATGCTGGCACAATCCTTGTGTGTGGGGAGCGAGGAGAGCTCCTCCATGAGCCTTGGCTGTGTTAAAGTTCACTCTGCCTGCATGAAGTGCAAGGTCCAAAAAAAGCAATTTCACTGCTGCCTCTTTCAGCAAATAGCAAAAAATATTTCTTCCCTTTTTCATCTTAAATAAATTTAGTTACCTGGCGGGTCATTGTCCTCAAGCCCAAGTTGCACAGACATAAATAAATCATTTTCCTACATTTCCTGGCCTGTGCTGGCCACTAGATGGAAGTGCTCCCTGCAGTTTTCAGGGAACAGGAATGGTTTGTCTCTGTCCCTCTGGAAGCACCAGGCTCAGCCCTGTGTGTGTCTCAGGCTCTGAGCCCCAGGTCATACTGGGGAGCAGCCCAAAATCCCAGCAGGGACTAGAGATGCAGGTTCACATCCTCGGGGTTTCTCCTGTGATGCTTCTCTGGGCTCTGTTCTTGGGATTTGTGTTGCAGGGTTTGGTACTTGGGAGCTGCAGGGATGGATGAGATCTTGGGAATTAGGAATTCCTGGCTGGGAGGGTGGGCAGGCCCTGGCACAGGTGCCCAGAGCAGCTGGGGCTGCCCCTGGATCCCTGGCAGTGCCCAAGGCCAGGCTGGACAGGGCTGGGAGCAGCCTGGGACAGTGGGAGGTGTCCCTGCCATGGCAGAGGGGGATTGGGATGAGCTTTAAGGTCCCTTCCCAGCTCAGGCCCCAGCAGACCTTTAGCAGGGGGGTTTGCAGTAACTTCCCTCTGACTTGCTGTGGAAAACTGAATGATTGTGCTTTTCCCTCCACATCTGACCTGGATCTCTTTCCCTCTGCAGATGAGTGGTTGAGACCTGTGATGAAAAAGGACAAGCAGGTGCTGGTACATTGGGGCTTTTTTCCAGACAGGTAAAGAAAGCTGGGGGAGAGCAAACCCTGAGTTTTAACTGTTTGTTGATGGAAGTGTCTTGACCCCCATGTGCAAAGCTTGGAAAGAATGAACCATTGATTTAAAAACTGCAGTATCCACATCCATTGTGGCTCTGGCAGGTGGGTGAGGCTGCAGAAAGAGTTCCTCTGCAGAGCCACAAGGAACTGGTTGGAAGTTGATTTTAAAGCTGGAATGAGCCTTTCCTTACGTTTTAAAGGGAGAACTTCCAGTCACCTGGCTGATTTCACTCCAAGGGTCTCTTCAGTCAGGGAAGTGACTGTTAATGCACCCCTTTGAGAAACCTGCCCTGTGCTCTTGGAACGTGTTAAAATTCAATGTGTGTGCTGATAGGAGCTTCACTGTATTTGCAATAACTGCTTTCTGAGCCCAGGCTATGGAAGATCAATCAAAACATTGATAACCCAGTATTGACTGCTATTTAATTAACTTTTTCAGGCCACTAAAATCTGTTCACGCACCAAATTCCTAGGAGCTCTATCTCACATGGGGCTCTCAGTGGAGGAGAGCAAACAGTAATCACACTGAAGTTTTTCATTCATACAGATGAAGAGCCCTTAAATATGTCTATATTTCTATCAGTAGTCAGGTCTATATTGGTGTTTTTAAACCAGGTGCACACAAAAGAGTGTAAAGCCAGGAATGCTGTGCACATCTTTCCTTGCACCTGACTCCTCCCTGTTCCTCAGCATCTGCTGTTGGTTACAAAGGACTGTGGCTTTTGCTGTTGCTCAGTGCAGTTTGTTAATAAATAGACTTTTGAGGGAATAATGTGGAAGAGTGAATATAAATAATGAGTGGTTTCTAGGACAGGGTGCAGCTTCCTCCCTTCCAGGAATCCAGTAGCTCTTGCTTTGAAATCACAAGAAAAGAAAGAAGTGGATTCAATTAATGGCAGGGTTTGGTTGGGTGACTCAGAGCTGCCCCTGAACCTCTCCAGACTTGCACTTGAAGCTGGAGCTGGTTCACTGAGAGGATTTTTAACTTTTAGTGTGCATTAGATGCCTCGGGGCCCTCCCTGTGCCCAGTTCCTGTGGCACAAAGCAGGATTATTCCCTGTGGGAAGCCCTGCAGTCCCAGCAGTGAGGTCTGCACGTGCCAGAGCTGCTGGAAAACCATTCCTGGTGCTCCTGGTGCCTGAGCTGCTCTCTCCTGACCCTCCCCAGCTACGACACCTGGGTCCATGCCAGCGAAATCGAGGCGGAAATTGAGGACGCGCCGATCCCCGAGAAGCCGTGGAAGGTGAGTCTGGCTCAGGCCCTGGGGAGCTGAGCTGGGTCTGGCTCAGGGCTTGGGGAGCTGAGCTGGGTCTGGCTCAGGGCTTGGGGAGCTGAGTTGGGTCTGGCTCAGTGCTTGGGGAGCTGAGTTGGGTCTGGCTCAGTGCTGGGGGAGCTGAGCTGGGTCTGCCTCAGGGCTTGGGGAGCTGAGCTGGGTCTGGCTCAGGGCTTGGGGAGCTGAGCTGGGTCTGGCTCAGGGCTTGGGGAGCTGAGCTGGGTCTGGCTCAGGCCTTGGGAGGAGAGTCTGGCTCAGGGCTTGGGGAGCTGAGCTGAGTCTGGCTCAGTCCCTGGAAGGTGAGTCTGGCTCACGTCTGGGGAGCTGAGCTGGGTCTGGCTCAGGCCTTGGGAGGTGAGTCTGGCTCAGTCCTTCCCAGGATTCCTGGGCTGGGGCCGTTGGGTGTTGCCCTGCTCTGGTTGTTCTGCACTCACTGTGTTACCCTGGCCATGTTCTGTGTGTGCTCCTGGAGTCACAGCAGCTCAGGCTGAAAGGACCTTGGAGTTTCTTCAAACACCTGTAACTCACTGGAAAACAGGATTTTGGGTATAAACCTTACTAGGAATAGTCAGAGAGAATTGTGTGAAGTATTAATAAATTGTATGAATTACTGTAAAGCACCAGAAGTTTTCTCAGCTGTGTAAAACAAACAGTGGTAGGCGTTATAATCCTGGCAGTTGTTTGTCCCCCAGGGAATGGCCAACTCCTGCTCACTTTTTGGTGGTGGTGGCACCCCTGCCAAGGGGATGTGTGTATTTAGGAGGTTTTGATGGCAATTTTCAGCACCCAAAGAACACTGGTAGCCCAGAGCTGCTCTCCCAGCTTTCAGAACTGACCTCACACTCCAGGAGGCCTGAAAATGCTTGAGGAGCAGAGGTTGGGTTCTGAGTCTTGTTCATCCTTCGTGGTCCTGCCCTGTGTCACTGCCAGGAGTGTGTGAAACAAGAGGGATTGGGACATTCAGACCTGATAAAGCTCCAGGAATGTCCTGGGAGGTCTCTCATGGAGTTATTTCTCCCCAAAGCATCATCCTGTCCCTGTCTCCTGTTGTGCAGGTTCATGCCAAGTGGATTCTGGACACGGATGTGTTCAATGAGTGGATGAATGAGGAGGATTATGAGGTGGATGAGAACAGGAAATCCGTGAGCTTTCGCCAGAGGATCTCCATGAAGAATGAGGAGGTGGGTGGGGGCCTGGAGGGACAGCAGTGTCCTTTACCTCTGCATGCACAGAGCTGGAGAAGGGAGGGATCCAGGCAGAGCTCAGAGCTCCTTCCAGGCCCTGAAGGGGCTCCAGGAGAGCTGGAGAGGGACTAGGGGACAAGGCCTGGAGGGACAGGACACAGGGAATGGCTCCCAGTGCCAGAGGGCAGGGATGGATGGGAGATTGGGGGTTAGGAATTCCTGCCCAGGGCAGCTGTGGTATCCTGTTTTGGGCTGTGTTAAGGAAGGATGCAGCCTGCAGCTCTGCAGTGGGAGAATTTGGGGGTAACTGAAAGCTCTGCTCCCTCCCAGCCCGTGAGGAGCCCCGAGAGGAGGGACAGGAAAGCAGCAGCCAGCACCAGGAAGAGGAAACACTCCCCTTCTCCACCCCCCACTCCTGTGGAGTCCAGGAAAAAGACAGGGAAGAAAGGGTGAGTGTCTGCAAGTGTCCAGAGGCCTGGGGTTTCCTTCCAGGCCCTGAAGGGGCTCCAGGAGAGCTGGAGAGGGACTAGGGGACAAGGCCTGGAGGGACAGGACACAGGGAATGGCTCCCAGTGCCAGAGGGCAGGGATGGATGGGAGATTGGGGGTTAGGAATTCCTGCCTGGGAGGGTGGGCAGGGTGCCCACGTCAGCTGTGGTATCCTGTTTTGGGCTGTGTTAAGGAAGGATGCAGCCTGCAGCTCTGCAGTGGGAGAATTTGGGGGTAACTGAAAGCTCTGCTCCCTCCCAGCCCGTGAGGAGCCCCGAGAGGAGGGACAGGAAAGCAGCAGCCAGCACCAGGAAGAGGAAACACTCCCCTTCTCCACCCCCCACTCCTGTGGAGTCCAGGAAAAAGACAGGGAAGAAAGGGTGAGTGTCTGCAAGTGTCCAGAGGCCTGGGGTTTGAGGTGAAAAGAAATGAGGAAAAGAAGTTGAAGAACTGATTTTGGGGAGAGCTCTGTGACGTGGGATTCTGGAATTATTTCTGGCTACGCTTGAGGGATTATTCATGAGCAGTTTGTGCAATTCCTTGTTCTACCAGTATTTTACCCAAATAAAAACTTAATTACTATTAATTAAATAGTAATTAGTAAGTTTTTAATAGTAATTAAAAACATAATTACTAACTATGGGTTATTATGTGTGGGTGTGGAGGGGAGCACTTCAAAGCTAAAAATTCAGGTCTTGTTTATGGACCTGTTGGGCTCTGATAAGACAGAACTGGAATTTCATCAAGAATGAGTTGATAATCTGAGTTCCTCCTTCCAAGTGTAGAGCCTGAGTTGGGGTCTGTGAGGGGATGTGGTTCTGCCTGTGTTCCCAGAGTGGTTTCAGGAGGGTTTGACCCTCCTGGCCTGGCTCTGAGCACTGTCCAGGAGCATCTGGCACAGCCCCTGTGTCTGCTCTGTTCCAGGCAAGCAGCTCTCTATGGCAAAAGGAGGGGGCAGAAGGAGGAGGATGAGCAGGAGGATCTCACCAAGGACATGGAGGATCCCACCCCAGTACCCAACATAGAAGAAGTGGTACTTCCCAAAAATGGTAAAATATGGGAACGCTTTTTCAGTGTTAAAGATTAAACTGCATTAAAATTGTGTCTATATTTTGTCAAATCTTTGAAGTACTCCATGGCCATGGGGTAGGTGGTCTCTGCCCATAAATTTATCTAGTCAGGCATGTAACAGCTGAAAAGGGCAGCAGTGTCACCTCCTTTTGGCCTTTCAAAATACAAAGCTACGTTTAAAAAAGACACTTTTAAAGATAGGTTTACAGCAATCTGCTTAAATGTTTCATTTCACTGGGTCATGTTGGGGGAAATGGAGTTTTCTGGAGCAAAGTATTTCCCTGCCAAGCCCCCAGAAGAAGGATGTTAAATGAGTGGAAAATGTGCTAGTGTCAAGTGCTTTTAGTCCTTTTCAGGGAAGTGTTGATGTGGGCAATGATAATTCTGGGAAAAGGAATTCCTTCAGCATCCCTGGCAGCAGATAATTTTGGGAGTCTCTCCGTTTGGGTGTTCTTGTTTTGGGTTTGCACTGAAGCCGTGCTGTGTGTTGGGCAGGTGGGGAGGAGCAGGGCCGTGCTGCTCTGTCAGGAGCTGGGAATGCAGGGCAATGGGACAAACGGGCCCTTGTGCTGCTCTGTGAACTCCTGAACTGCAGACAGAGCCCAGGGAAACGAGGCCAGGCTGCAGAGCTGCTGTCTGCTGCTCTCTCATCACTCCTGTTCTTGCAGTGAACCCAAAGAAGGACAGTGAGAACACGCCCGTGAAAGGAGGAACCGTGGCAGACCTGGGTAAAGCCCCTGCTCCCTCAGCTTCCATCCTGCTTGCAGTCAATATTTTAAAATATATCTTAAATGTTTCTAAATCTCTCAGTTTAAAAAGCAATCTCTACTTCTGCTATTTTATTGAATTAATTCATATTTCATACACGTTCAAGTTCCAGTGTACCAGCTCTTCACTGTTCCCTCATAGGCTATTGTTATTTTTATTGTTTTCACATGACATAAGAGCTCTTTTCTAGCAAATTTTTTTTTTTTTTTACTGGGAATCAGGGTAAATCACAGGTTCCCTGAGGTTGGCTGAGCCTTGACATGAGATACAAACTCATATCCCATATCTTATTATACAAAAGTCACCTAGGACACTGGGAAAGGAAGTAATTAATTATGGATTCTGAAGTATTGAGAAATTCTAATTATCCTTCCTCTGCATTCTTACCTGTTCCCTGGTCTGGGATACCTAAAGGTGTAATTGTTTTAGTGATGTGGGATCCACTTTGTTCCCTTCCCTTCCCAAAGAAATTAAATGTCCTTTCCAGTTAAACAGTTGTGTTGCTGGAAAGGCTTCTGAACATTTAAATGATTTTATTGGTGTAATTCTCAATGTTTTTACCTTTCAGATGAGCAGGATGAGGAGACAGTGGCCACTGGAGGAAAGGTAACAACACCTGCTGCTTCCTGAATTTGGAAACAACTGAGATTGTACAGTCCCAGATGGTTTGGGCTGGAAGGGACCTTAAAAAACACCCAGTGCCACCCCTGCCATGGCAGGGACACCTCCCACTGTCCCAGGCTGCTCTTCAAGCCCCAGTGTCCAGCCTGGCCTTGGGCACTGCCAGGGATCCAGGGGCAGCCACAGCTGCTCTGGGAATTCCATCCTGGCCCCTCACCAGGAAGAATTCCTCCCCAGTATCCAACCCTGCCCTCTTTCTCCTCCAAGTCATTCCCTGTGTCCTGTCAGGATCTTAATCTCACCTTCAGTAACTTCACCTGAACTCATTTTCCAGTGATCTGTGAGATGAAATCAGTTACTGACAGGACTGAGGGTTTGTTATTACAGAACTCTCCAATTCTGTGGATGACTTGGTATTTTTAAATCTGGTGTGCTGAAGAGCAGAATGAGGAGACAGATGCCGAGTATTTTCCAAGAAGCATTTTTCAGATGAGAGGTTTTGCTTTGTTTTTTCGGTTTTAGGACTAAATCTAAACGCTGCTTTGGCTCCCTGATCACTTCAGTAGAGCTGCAGGGGTAGTTTCTGTATTGAATTGTGTTTGTGGCACGGCAGGCACTATTTTTAACAGATGTCATCTCACTGAGTGTGTTCAGAGCGATACCTTGTTGTCGTTGGGGGAGCTCAGTCCCAGATAAAGATCCATTATTGATACCAGCGCCTCCTCAGGGTCTGCCTGTGGGCCTTGGCTATTTTTAACATCGCTCAAACAACACCTCAGGTGTTTTGTACAGTTCTTGAAGTATCCTGACCCTGTTTTGCTGCCTCCTCTGTGCCCTCCTGGTGCTCGCTGTGGCTCAGGAGTTGGCGCTTGAGTTGCAGAACAGCAGCTGCTCACGGCAGGCTTTGGTGGGGAGCTGTCCCTGCTTTGGGGGTGTCACAGAACGTCTGTGTGCTGGGGGAGCCCGTGCTGCCCTCACCCTGCCGTGTCCCCCAGGAGGACGAGGACCCCAACAAGGGCGACCAGAGCCGCTCGCTGGACGCGGGGGAGGACAATGTCACCGAGCAGACCAACCACATCATCATCCCCAGCTACGCCTCCTGGTTCGACTACAACTGGTGAGGGGGGCTTCTGTGGCGTGGTGGCTGCTCCTGCCTGTGTCCTGTTCCCCAGTGACACCTCCTGTGGAAAGGCTGCTGGGGGAGGCGTTCAGGCAAGGCAGTCAGTGCACACACCACGCTCACCGTGGCCAGCTCAGCCAGGAGAGGCAGCAGGGCCTTCTTAGGGGCAGTTCCAGAGAGGTTTGTGTCAGCACACCAAAGGGAAATCGGGGGTAAAAGACCTGGCCACGTGCTGTGCACAAGGTTAAGAGTGGGAGGCTTCAGGGGAGATGGGGCCAGCCACCAGGGTACCACAACCAAGGAGGGACAGGGAAAGGAAAAGCCAACAGAATTTGGGTCTGGAGTGGTTCATGGTGTTGTGCAAGTCTCTGTGGGGAAGTCTTCTCCTTCAGCCTGGGTGGGGAAAACTCTATGGGAAATTCTTCCAAGGCAAGGCGTGGGGGTTTCCCTGAGGAGGAAGGATTCAGAGGATTCCACAACAGCCCTGGGGGTTTCCCTGAGGAGGAAGGATTCAGAGGATTCCACAGGCAGGCTTCATTTAATTTTGTTTTCTCACCAATCAGCCTGGGAGCTGAAGGCAGTGACTCCTGTTTAGGTCTGGTTCCCATGTTTTGTGCTGAAATCTTTCTGGCCCTTCTCAGGGGTTGGGAATGAGGAAGAGGGTTTCAAACAGGTTTTGCATACATTGATTTCCCTCTAATTCCCACCTTAATTCCTTTCTCTATTCTACTTCTCTAGTCACTGTCTGACCATTCTGTGTTTATCTCTCCTACTGAAAGCCTTTTTATTTTGCTTCAGAACTTGACTGTGAGGAGAAGTCACTGATTCTAGAGGGAGGACATTTGTTGCAGCCTGGAATCCTCTTGGGGTCAGGGCTGTTTCAGGATCTGACACCTGAACTGTTTTGTTGCAGCATCCACGTGATTGAACGTCGTGCGCTTCCAGAATTCTTCAATGGGAAAAACAAGTCCAAGACTCCAGAAATGTGAGTGAAACCTGGCAATGTGGGCAGTGACAGTGTGGCAGGATAAAGGAGCTTCCCATCCCATAAATCCTGTGGCCACAGCTGGGTGTGTGAGAGGCTGATAGTTCCTGTAGGGCCTGAAAGAGAGACAGAGCCACTGACAGTGTTTGTACATTGTTGTGGTAGAGATAAAAGTTCAAACATCCAAGTGATATTTACCAGTGGTTATCCAGGTAAAATAAAACTACTTTCCCCCAAGTAATACTGGAACAAATTCTCCAACTCTGTGTGGTACAAGATGTGGTCAACATCCAAAGTCATGTTAAAATGTCATGGAAGGGTAGAAGTGGAACAATCCTGCTTATTCCTCCCTCTCTCCTCATGCCATGCTGTACTTCTGTATTTCTGTGTGTTGTAGATCCTGTCTCAGGCTGTGGAGTGAATTCTCTGGTTTGAATTTGGTTATTCAGAGTGATCTTGAAAGGCCATGGATAAAGGAAGGATGGTCAAAGGCTTTGAACAATAGTGTTTCTATTAAAATGATGCTAAACCTGAGATTTCACACCGAAAAATCCTGGGTTTGGACACCAGAGTGTGCTGGGCAGTGGGGCTGGCCTGGCTGGGGTCACTTTGTCCTGGTGTCAAATCTTGGCTTGGTTCCAAAGCAGCTTTTGGGGATTTTAGAAGGTGGTTTTTCAACCAAGCACTACAGGAAGTGTTTGAGGTGTCTCCTCGTTGTCCTGATCTCATCTGAGCCCTTCATTGCTCATACACAGCATTCCATGGGATCCCAGAATGGTTTGGGTGGGAAGGGACCTTAAAAAACACCCAGTGCCACCCCAGCCATGGCAGGGACACCTCCCACTGTCCCAGGCTGCTCCAAGCCCTGTCCAGCCTGGCCTTGGGCACTGCCAGGGATCCAGGGGCATCCCCAGCTGCTCTGGGAATTCCATCCCAGCCCCTCCCCACCCTCCCAGCCAGGAATTCTCAATTCCCAGTATCCCATCCATCCCTGCCCTCTGGCAGGGGGAGCCATTCCCTGTGTCCTGTCCCTCCATGTCTTGTCCCCAGTCCCTCTCCAGCGCTCCTGGAGCCCCTTCAGGCCCTGGCAGGGCTCTGAGCTCTCCCTGGAGCCTTCTCCTCTCCAGGGGAACATTCCCAGCTCTCCAGCCTGGAGAGGAGAATCCCTGCAGAGGTTGTCCTTGTGCTGGAATCTCCCACCTCAGGTGTGGCTGTTGGTCTGTGATGCTCTGGGTCTGATAAAGAAACAGGAATTAGGGACTGTCCTTTCTCCTGGGGCCCTGGTGGTGTTTGTGCCCTGCCCCAGGAGGTCCCTGGGGTGCAGCCAGGCTGTGCCTGGGCCTGTGCCAGGGCAGCAACAGCTCAGGCTGGAATGGAACAGCAGGTTCTGGCTGGAGAAAAGGGGAGTTTTGAGCTCTGGACAAGATGAAGCACTGGGATGGGGCTTTGGGAAGCTGGGATTGCTCCTCCTTGGAGGCTTTCAGGCCTGCCTGGACAAAACCCTAAGAAACTTGGTGACAGTTCATGGCTTGAGCAGGAGCTTGGCTCAGACACCCCTGAGGCTCCTGGCACCCCAGGGATCCCCAGTCCTTGGTCTGTCCTCCCAGCTTCTCTGCATGTGTGAGTGCAGAGCAAGCACAGCTGCACCCCAGAGCCCCAGCAGGGCTTGTGGGCAAGGGGCTGTGGAGATCCTCCTGTTCCACTCCCTGCAATTCCAAAATGGCTTTGTTCCAAGGCTCATCCAACACTGCCTCTGTTCCAGCAGTTTTGCTGCCCAGCAAATTGTAGTCTGGGGGTTTGTCAGAGTGAGAGGCAGCAGACAGCTGCAGTGTGGAAGGAATGCTCCTCTCCTGGGTCTGTGGCCCCTGTGATTGTCACTGCAGGCCCAGGTGCCCTTCTGCAGCTGGCATCACAAATCAGTGCTCCTGCTGCTCCTCCCTTGGCTGCCACTGGTCTCTGCCTGCCATGGAAGCAGCCTGGGGACTCCTGCCAGTCCTCCTGTCATCCTGGAGATCTGGTTGTGGTGCCATTTTGGGGTGGTAGGAGCTGCACGAGGTCCTGGCTCTGTGTTTTCTTTTGAGATCAAAGAGGAGCATCCCTCTGAATGGGGACGAGTGGCCTCCAGCTGAATGTTCAGGCCAGAACACCGTGCTGGAGGAGCTCTCACAGGTTCATCCTTGTGACAGCAGTGCCTGGGGTAGGCCCTGGCTGGAAAGGGGTTCAGCTAAATCCTGCTTGACTTCTCACTGCTGACAGGGTTTGCCTGAAGGGTCATGGCTCAAAACCATCTCCCTTCAGAACCAGCCTGGGAATGTTTCTGTCTTGGGCTTCTCCCTCCACCTCGTGCTGTGACCTTTACTAATAAATACTAATTCCTGCAGCCAAGACCTGTTCTGGGCAGGCTCTTCCCCTCCCCTGGAGCATTCAGAGCATTCAGAAATGTTCTCAGTATTCCTCTCTGGAAGAAGCTCCTTTTTGTTTCTTGCCTCCCAAGCATCCCACGTGGAGCCAAACACCTACTCCAGCAATTTTCTTCCAGCCAGTTGCACATATGATCTGGTCAGGAGGAAGATGTGGGATTTTGGCAGGGACATGTGCTTGCAGCATCTGCCTGCTCAGGCCTTGCCTGGATGATTTATATTTTTGGTTCCCAGCTGCTTCACACACTGCATGTGAAACATTCTCCCCTGGAATTTTCCAAAAGCAGAAATCTGCTCTAAAAACCACTGTTTTACCACAGCTTTGCATTGGATACTCACTAAACAGAATCCTGCAATAATTTGGGTAGAAAAGGACCTTAGAGCCCATCTCATTCCACCTACCTGCCATGGGCAGGGACACCTTCCATAGTCCAGAGTGCTCCAAGCCCCATCCAGCCTGGATGGTGCCAACCTGTCTGTGGCAGATTGGGTTTGTTCCCTCTAAAGAGCAGGGCTATCGATAATTTTATGGCAGGTTATTTTCTTCAGGATAATTTGTATTAGGAAGCATCAGTATATTCCAAAATCTTACTGAAATGGGGGAATCTCTGAGGAATTGTTTCTGCTCCAGCTGTTCCCAGCTGTGCTGGCTCTGGGCTCTTGTCCTCTGCTTTTCAAAGGTTTTTTCTTCTCCATGTTGCTGTTCTCCAGCCTTTCCTGCCTCATCCCTTCATCCATTAAAAACTCCACATGCAGCCACAGCAGTGTTCCATCCACTTCTGCTTTTCTGTGCTGCTTTTTTCCTTCACACGGGGATGCAGAGGGATTATTTATCCTGTTCCTGTGTGAAGACCAGACACCGTTCTTTTCATCCTGCAGCTTCTATTCTGCTGTGGGAACATTTGATCAGTGACCAAGTTCCAACAGATAATTGTGTGATTTACAATTTCAACATGTTTCCATGTGCTGCTACTCCAAACACAGGAGAAAATCCAGAGTGAAGCAGTCTGGAAGAGTGTGAATTCCACTTACCCGTTGGTTCTGAAATGGCACCAACGAAAGAGATCTGTTGGTGTTTCCTGGTCAGAGAGGGGTGTTTGGGAGGCTGGTGTTGAAGTGCCTGTCCTGAGCTGTGGGGGAGCTCAGGGGACAGAGCTGGTGGCTGTTGTGTTGCAGATACCTGGCCTACAGGAACTTCATGATCGACACGTACCGGCTGAACCCGCAGGAGTACCTGACCAGCACAGCCTGCAGGAGGAACCTCACCGGGGACGTCTGCGCTGTCATGAGGTGACAGCCTGGCCTCTGAGGCCTTTGGGGACCTTTGGGGCCTGCAGCTTCTGGGCATTTCCAGGCATCAGCAGCATCATGGAATAACGGAGGGGGGAAAAACCCTCCAAAGATTGAGCCCAGCCCGTGCCCTCTCCCCAGCCCAGAGTAACATCCAGGCCTTCCTTGGACACCTCTAGGTCACTTTCCTGGGCAGCCCCTGCCAATCCCTGACCCCCTTTCCAGGAGGAAATTCCTGCTGCTGTCCACCCTGAGCTGCCCTGGCCCAGCCTGAGGCCGTTCCCTCTGCTCCTGTCCCTGTTCCCTGGAGCACAGCCCGACCCCCCGGCTGTCCCCTCCTGGCAGGAGCTGTGCAGAGCCACAAGGTCCCCCCTGAGCCTCCTTTTCTCCAGGCTGAGCCCCTTCCCAGCTCCCTCGGGAATTCTCCAGCCCCTTCCCAGCTCCGTTCCCTGGACTCGCTCCAGCCCCTCAGGGTCTGTCTTTGGGGCCCAGAACTGCACACAGTCAGGCTTTATCCATCACTCTGCAGTGCTCTCAGGTGTGCACAGAGCTCCTGCTCTGAGATTTGTTTTGCTCTTTGGGATTAATGAAGGACTAGAGGAGCTCCTGAGTCTGGATTTGATCCAGCAACATCAGCTCTGTCCTTTGTCCCCTCCCACACGAAGCACAAGCAAACCTTTGGTGGCCAAGGCTGGATTTGTCCTGTTTTTCACAGGGTCCACGCCTTCCTGGAGCAGTGGGGGCTCATCAACTACCAGGTGGATCCCGAGAGCCGCCCCATGGCCATGGGGCCCCCCCCGACCCCCCACTTCAACGTGCTGGCCGACACCCCCTCGGGGCTGATGCCGCTGCACATCCGCACCCCGCAGGTGAGCCTGGGCCCCGGGGCTGCCTCTGACAGCCAGGGGCTCTGCCCAGCTGGGAAATGGCCCTTGCTGAGCAGCTGGGGAAGTGGCCTTTGCTGAGCACCTGGGAAATGTCCCCCTTGCTGCCTGAGCACCTGGGAAATGTCCCCTTCCTGCCTGAGCACCTGGGGAAGTGCCCCCCTTGCTGTCCAGCTGGGAAAAGTCCCCTTGCTGCCTGAGCACCTGGGAAATGTCCCCTGCCTGCCTGAGCAGCTGGGGAAGTGTCCCCCTTGCTGCCCAGCTGGGAAATGTCCCCTTGCTGCCTGAGCACCTGGGAAATGTCCCCTGCCTGCCTGAGCAGCTGGGGAAGTGTCCCCCTTGCTGCCCAGCTGGGAAATGTCCCCTTGCTGCCTGAGCACCTGGGAAATGTCCCCTTCCTGCCTGAGCACCTAGGAAATGTCCCCCTTGCTGCCCAGCTGGGGGAAATGTCCCCCTTGCTGCCCAGCTGGGGGAAATGTCCCCCTTGCTGCCCAGCTGGGGGAAATGTCCCCCTTGCTGCCCAGCTGGGGGAAATGTCCCCCTTGCTGCCCAGCTGGGGGAAATGTCCCCCTTGCTGCCCAGCTGGGGGAAATGTCCCCCTTGCTGCCCAGCTGGGGGAAATGTCCCCCTTGCTGCCCAGCTGGGGGAAATGTCCCCCTTGCTGCCCAGCTGGGCCCAGCATCCGGGGCAGTTCTGTGCAGAACCACTCACGCATTGCTCAGACATTTGTTTTAGTGTCTTGGGCTTGTGTTCAGCTTCCCTGTCCAGTCCGTGTTGAGTGTTGGTCTGAAAACCTTGGATAACTTTGTATTCCTGCCCCTCTCCCCTGTAACGTTTGTTCCCAGGTTCCAGCTGCCCAGCAGATGCTGAGCTTCCCTGAGAAAAACAAGGAGAAGCCAACTGACCTGCAGAACTTTGGCCTTCGCACAGACATCTACTCCAAAAAGACTCTGGCTAAGGCAAGTGTCCCCTCCAGCTCCCAGTGAGTTTGTTGCTCCTCAGGTGTCCCCCACTCTGTGTCCCTGAGGTGACTTGTGTTGCTCCTCCACTCCTGCTTTGGGTGTCTTCCATCCCTGTGCAGGACACTATGGTGGGAGGTTGTGCTGGAATTCTGATTTTGTGGGAATAAAGACACAGACAGCTTCCCAGAGCAGTCCACACTGTCAGCCTCAGGTGCCAGGCTCACTGTGTTCCTGCATGTCCTGCTGGAATGGCTCAGCATCAGCAGACCATCCAAGGATTCAGGACACAGAGAGCTTCCAGCAGGATCTCTGCCTCTCCTGGTCCCAGGCTGACAGACAGAGACCCCAGTTCCCACTGGTTGGGTGTCCTGGGGCCACTGAGGGGGTCTTTGGGCACTGTCATTGCAGAATGTCACACAGGATAATGAAACTTGGGAGGCATCATTGCACTGGTGTGTTGATTCCACAGCCTCCTGCATTTCCCTGTTCCCTGTGTGTCCCTGGAGGTGCTGTGGGAGTGCCAGGGTACCTCAGCACAGCCTCCAGTGGGAACTGGGACTCTCCAGAGCTGGGTAGTCCCCCTCCTGGGTGGGATCAGGCTAATTCCATGCCGTTGGTTCATTGTCCTCAGAGGTCATTGTTTAAACCTAAAAAATAACTATTTAAACACTATTTACCACTTCAGACCATCCTTTAAGAACCAGTTCTCGAGGTATTTTTATAAAGCTGGTTCCATCTCACATTTCATGGATTGACTTTTTCACTTGTTAAGGGAGCTATAAATTCTCTCCAAACTGATAAATCTGTTGCTGGTTCTGGGCTCTGGCTCTGTTTACAGGGGCTGTGAACTGGAGCAGGTTTGTTGGCAGATTGCCCTGTTTGGTTTCTGTGTGCTGGGGCTTTTGGCTGTGGAGAGCAGCAGTTGGGTGACTCACATTGATTAATGTTCTGTGTGGGTTAATGAGCTGTTTGAAATGCATCTGGAGATAACATTTATTATCCCAAACAGCCTCTTCCTCTCGGTCTAGCACGGAGCCAGCCAGTGGTGCTGATGTTCCTTAGGAGCAGTCCCGAGCTGTCAGGGTGTCACAGGAGGGGAAGCTCCACCATGAATTTGGAACTTTCATCCAATCTGAGCAGTTTACCACGAGGGGCAGATTTGGGAGCAGCAGATAATCCTGTTGGAATTACTCTGCCTTCTCACATAGCTCATCCCCCTGTAAAGAGTTATTTCCCTTCTGAGTGACTGATGAACTTGGAGATAAATTAACTTCTTTTGGACCAGCCCAGCCCACTGTGCCTCCAGCACTCAGAGGGGGTTTGTTATTCAGGAAAACCCTCTGTGCTGTGTGTGCAGGCACAGATCACTGGGACAGGAGGGTGCAGATCCCTTTGCTTTAGCTCAGAAGGCATGGTGGGAAGTTGGGGTGTGTGACCCCCAGCTGTGCCTTCACTTCATGGACCCCTGCACGGGCTGACCAGCTGGAGGGGGAAGGTTGGAGTGCATCAAATCACAGCTTCTTCCCCTTTCCTCCTCAGTGTTTTCTCCTACAAGGTTTTGTGCAAGAAGTCCTCTGTTTCACCTTTTTTTTTCCCCCTCCTGTCTTTCGTAGAGTAAAGGTGCAAGTGCTGGCAGAGAATGGACAGAGCAGGAGACACTGCTGCTGTTAGAGGTGAGTTCATGAGGACAAGCCAAAGGGCAGAAAACCAAGCCAGGAGGGGTAGGTCAGGCTCTAAAAATCCACAATTCTTTAGAGTTAGATGACAGCTGCCATCATGGCTACAAGAGTGTTGCTACCAAAAAGAGATGGCAGGAGCATCTCTGTGAGAGAAGGGCTGCCTGTGTCTGAGGTTTGCTTCTAACTTGGACCTGCAAGCCAGAAATGAAGCATTTAAGAATTTGTGTTAGTCAAGAGCAGGTTTTGCAGTGCAGAGAGGTGCTTTCATTCAGCAGGACTCACTGACAGTGTGAAATGGTGTCACTAATTCAAATAGTGGTAAATATTCAGGTAAAGGTTTACCTGGCACTCAGATAAATTCTTGGGAATCTTGATTTCCAAGCCATGCCACAGCTTAGGGAAACAGCTCATTTTGGAAGCTGAAGTGGTTGAGAAACAGTTGAGGCCACGGAGAAGGCAAGTTCTGTGGTAGCTCCCTCATCCCATCTGTCTCCTCCTTGTTTTCCCTGTAGCTGCACTTGGGGTGTTCTTTGAGCTTTTTCTGGAAGTCTACCAAACAAAAACCAAAAAATCCCTGAGATCATTCCATGAGGTGCCTTATGATGCAGGCTGGTGTCCCCAGGTGGCTTCGAGTGAAGCTCTGGAGCACATGGGGATGGGATCTCTGGAGCTGCAGTGGGCATGGAACCCTCAGAGGAGCTGCAGAGGGTTCTGGGCTCTCACAGCAGGGCAGCTGTTTCTCTCTGCTTCAGCAGAAGAAGAATCTCAGTGGCCTGAAATAATTTTAAGTGCTTCCACTTCCTGCAAAGACAAGATCTTCTCCCCATCTTTGCTTTCAAGGGAACATTTTTCTGATGTAGAGGCTGCATGGCTGATTTCTTTCTTTTGAAGTAATTCAGAGTTCTGAGAACTCCAGTTTAGGGCTCTGTTTTTGTTGGGTTTTATTTGCAGAGCTCAGAGCAAACTGCAATTGCCTGGTTGTTTCAGCTTTTTTGTCTTCCCATGTGTCAATAAACCCATTGAAAAGTTAATTTCCTGGGGAAAAGCCTGGAGGATGGACCTGTGTCAGTGCCAAATGAGCAGCTGTGATTCAGTCTTCACACATATGGAGTGTGGTCATCAAACAGCCAAAATCTCCCATTTTTTCCTCTTTATTTTAGGTTGATATTCACTGTTTAGCCAATACTTTCCCATTGGCACATGGAAAAATTTTGCTTATAGGGTGTAAACAGCTGTTTTCAATGGCATTCTTGTAAGGAGAAACAAGGCTAATGCCTTGATGTACTGACTTCTTTTCTTTTTTATTTATTTAAATATATTATTTAAATATTTAGTATTAATAGTACTGTTATTTAAAATTCATTGGTTTGTATGTTTTTAGCTTATGGTCATACACTGCATGGTGTAGCCCAATGAAATAATCCAATGACATATTCTGTGTTTAAAACAAACCAAAACCCTCCCCTAAATCTTGAGATTGCAATTCCGTTTAATGAGTTTAAATTAATAATGTTTTTATTCCTCCTTTTTCATGGACTTGCTCCATGCATAAATCAGTAAAGAGTATATCAGTTCAAGCATAAGTAATTCAGCTGTAACAAGCCAGCTCAGTCCAATTAAATCCTCAGGGTAGCTTTGGGCAAATAGATAGGCAGCGAAGTTCCAAATAATAAATCGTATCTGAAATATAATTATTGGCCTTCTGCCTGTTGACTGAATAATTTGGGGGAGGAAATAGAGTTTTCCTCCCCAGAGCAGCCTCCCTGCACAGCCCTGTCCCTGTCTCCACGGCTCAGGCAGAGTTAAATGCATTTTCAGCTATTTTTAGGAAGGACATTTATTGCGAGCGAGGGTTTGTCTGGCAGGAAAACAACAGACGGGGAAGGAGGAGGAGCAGAAAGCAGAAGTTTGGGGGTTGAGAAGCAGAGCTGATCTCGTGTGCCAGTGGGGTTGAAAATGGAGACGGGGACTGAGAGCCCAGAGGTGACATTAGGGAAAGGGAAATAAAGGCTGAGCAGAGAAGAAATATCTCCCTTGAGTGTGGCCTGCTGAGCTGAGCAGTCTCTCCTCTGCTCAAACCCTTGGAAGGTGCCAGGGGCAGGAGAAGGGCTCAGCAGGGCTTGGGGATGGTGATTCCCATGGGGGGAGCAGGCTGCCCAGTGCAGCCTGTCCCAGGTCATTCCCAAGCCCAGGGCTCTCCCTCAGCTCTCCCATCCCCTGGTGGTGCTGCTCGGGGTCTTCAGCAGCTCCTGGGTGTTCTGCCCACCCAGCTGACCCCACCTGCTGCTGGAGGGAAGGAGCAGGGAGCCAGGGGCTCTCTGGAGACTAGCTGGGGGTTTTCCACCCGAGTTAAGCAGTGAGACCTGGCTGGGAGAGAGACACTTCAGCCAGGTTTGAGCTTAAATCACTCTGGGAAGTGCTGCCCCACTGCATGTCCTTCCAGTTTGATCCACGTTGGATTTCTGATGCTGTTGGATTGAATTGTCTGTCCTTGTAGCCGGTTTGCTTCCACGTCTTTGCAAACAGGAGCATTTTTTGCAAACATTTTCCTGACCTCAGCTGACCCTCTGCAGCCACAACGTGCCTGAGGGCCCCGTGCAGGTCGATGTTTTGTCCTTGAGGAATTCTCAGAGCTTCTGTTTTAACTGAACGAATACTGAAACACTTCAGAGCTGCTCTGAAGACAGAAGTGTGTTTGGAAGGGACCTTAGAGCTCATCCCACCCCTGCCATGGACAGGGACACTTTCCACTATCCCAGGCAGCTCCAAGCCCCATCCAGCCTGGTCCTGGTGTTCCAGAGAAGTTGGTGTGCATTCTGGGCCCTTCCCAGATGGAGGAACTGAGCACCAGGCTGGTGGCTCAGTTTGGCTCTTCCTCTTGTCCCTGGGAAGTGCTGAAACCCCCAGCACAGGAGCACTGTGTTCCTGTGTGCTCTGCTCTCCCACCTTGGGCATGTTCTCCTCGGGACCTCTGGCAGATCCAGCTCTGAGTTCTCCCTCCCTGCTCTGAGAGTTCAGTCAGCCTGGAAAGTTGAGATTTCTGGGCATTCTCAGCCTTGTGGGAGATACTTACTGGGGAAAACTCATTTTCACACTGGTCAGCTTCTGCCAGAAACTCAAATGGTTTTTTGCCTTTTCTGGGTGACTGCACCATGAATCCTCTCAGAAATGTAAAAGTTAATGGTTCAGGATATGTCAGTATTTATTTTATACTGTCCAGATACTGCACTAAAACAATTTTCAGGGGAAAAAAATGGCTTGTTAAGGAGTAATAATTTATTAGGCTGTGACTTGGAGGGTTTTACAGGATTAATGTGTTGGTTTTTCAGGAACTAGTGCTGGACCTTCAGTAGCTCCTTGCTGTTGAATTGTTTTAAGACTTTTCTTGAGGAAGTTTAAACATGACTGAAATTCAGAATTATGTCTTTGATATGATCTGCAAGTTCTTACTTTATCAGGTGCCTTATCTAGCCAGTAATGATTTGATAGCCCTGATTTTAACAGAAATCACACTGTGCAGACATCCCAGACCCCCCTGGACACAGCCCAGGGGACCCTGCCCTGCCAGGGGGGGTGGCCTGGGTGACATCCAGACCCTCCCAAGCCAGGCACTCTGTGTGAAGTTGGAGTGGCTCCAGAAGGCCACTGAGTGCCCAAGAATGGCTGGAGTTGCTTTCTGCCCCCACTGCTCCTGGTGTGTTTGCACCTGGTGGTTGGTGTTCCTCTGAGTGCTGTCACCAGTCAGCTCTGGGTAAATTCAGTGTAGATCTTGCAGTTTTCCTGTTTTACTTGTGTGAAATTATTTGCCAGAGATCCTAGAATTCCCAGACTGGACTGAGTTGGAAGGGGCCTTAAAGGGACCTCCCGTTCCACCTCCTGCAAAGGGAAGGGACATCTTGCACTAGAAGGTCTTGATGTGGACATTGGATGTGTCCACTTGATAAAACAGTTCATCTCAATTTTTGCTTTGTTTTTCCACATAAAACACGATTTTATGTAATTGGGAAGAGACTCTTCCACCACACCTGAAAGGCAGAAACAACCACCTCGTGTGAGAGGAAGGAACTCAGCCATTTGAGAATTCCCTTTGCCCCAGGGCTTACCTGCACACCGATCAGAGAAAACGTGACTCCATTTGCTGTAAAAGCCCCAGGACGTCTCACGTTGTGTGTCATGTCCCACAGAGGAGTTCTCCCGGGTCAGAGAGGAGGTGCCCCTGGAGCTGGTGGAGGCCCACGTGAAGAAGGTGCAGGAAGCAGCTCGAGCCTCTGGGAAGGTGGATCCCACCTACGGCCTGGAGAGCAGCTGCATCGCGGGCACCGGCCCCGAGGAGCCCGACAAGATGGGTGAGTGCTGCAACCCCTGGGGCATTTTCCTCTGAGTCCTGAGAAACCCCAGATTCTCCTCCAAATTCTCCTCCTCCAGCAGGAGATGGAGGTTGTGGGTAGGGAGAAGGGGGTGGGTCGTTCTGCTCACTGCAGGATTGACTTGGACACTGAACTGAGGATTTTAGGGCTACCTTGAGTTCTAGGAGCTTGTTCTCCTGCTCTCACTGGGTGGAAGTGCTGTTGCTTGGACTGGCCAAAAATACCAGGATATTCCATTGGTTGGGTGTTGGAGAATTCAAGACAAAATGATAGTCATGAGGTTTTTGCACAGAAGGCTGTTCAAGACCTTCAGTCTGAAGTGACTAAACTTAGTATTCATTCTGCTAAAGTAATGCAATTAATTTGTATTATTAATACAAATCTGTTGTCTCCTTATGATATTGTGCATTTAGCTACAGTTTTGTTTCTGCCTTTGTGGTGTTAAAGCAAACTGAGGGGTTTGGGCAGTGGGTTTTAGGGTGGATCTGGTTCTCTGAGTGTGTTGCTCACTGCGGAGGCAGCAGCAGGGGCATTTCTGATGAAGTGCTGGACTGGCACATGATAACCCTGGCTCTGGTGGGGCTGGAATTCTGCTGGGCTTTACCTGTGTGTGTTAACAAGCTCTGGTTTCATTTCTGTGGTGTTCAGCAATTATTCTGCTGTTAAGTCTCTGCTCTGAAACCCTGCCTGGTGCAAATTGGCTCCTGATTGCTCTGGAGAGCCGAAGCAGCTCCCTGGGCAGTGAAGCCTTGTGTGCCCTCTCCCAGCAGGAGGAGCAGACACTGTTTACTCCATCCCCAGGGCTTTCCAAGGCTTTGCTGTCCTCATTTGGTTACAGATCCACAATCTTGTCACTGCTACTTTCTCTCAGCCCTGTTGGCTCCTGCTTTGTTCAGCTTATCACAAACGATTTCAGTGACTGGACGTGAAGAGGCACGTCTGGCTCTGGGTGAAGCTGAGCAGGATGGGATGGAGCTTGACTGGGAGGCTGGGTTTGGGATGTGCAGGGCTGCCCTGCTGTCAGCCTGTCCAGGGACACGAGCAAGGTGCCAGATTGTGGGATGGCATCACGAGGGGCTGTGCTTGGTGCTCTTCACTTATCAACTGCTACCCACAGAGGGCTGCTATTTATAGCTCTTAATGTCCACTGCAAAACTACCCAGTAAATTAGATTGCAAAATGCCATTTAAATCACCAAGATAGTTTTTAATTAGAAAAGAAGCAAACAAACCACTCAGCCCTTCTGTCACACATCTCACTTCTGCACTCAGTGGGACAGACTTGCCATGAGGCAGCTCGGTGCTTTGGGATGGTGGGCATTGTGTGCTGGAAGGGGAAGAGAAACATCTGGGACATCTGCTGCTCCCTGTTCCTCAGAGCTGACAGCAGGCATTGAAGCTCTGCTGGAAGGACAAGCTTTGGGTTATTTACAAGTCAGCTATAAACCAAATCTCTGTGTTACTCCATCTGGGGCTGAGTTTAATTTCATAGTTGTTTTAAAATAAGGTCAGCTTAAGTTAAATTTTTCTTCCAGTCTTTGTTCCCCTTTCCCATATTCTCCCAGTGCAGGTGTCACTGTGAGTTGTTAAGGACTTCACAGGATCATTTCAGTTGGAAAAGCCCTCCAAGGTCACAGAGTCCAGGCTGTGCCTGATCCTCGTCCCCAGCCCTGAGCACCCAGTGCCACCTCCAGGCCTTCCTGGGACACCTCCAGGCATTGGGACTCTAAACCTCCCTGGGCAGCCCCTTCCATTATTTAACAGCCCTTTCCACAAAGGAATTCCTGCTGCTGTGCACCCTGAGCCTCCCCTGGCACATCCTGAGGCCGCTCCCTGCTGTCCTGAACGTGTCCCCTGTAACACACTTGCTGCTTGGACTTTTCCCCATTGCCAGGCTGCACGTTGGCCCTTTCTGGCCCTTTCTCTGGGAGAATTTGGGGCCAGGCTGGCAGTGGGGATGTGAGGTGCCTGTCAGTGAGTCTGGGGTCTCAGGGCAGGTGCCACCCCCAGCAGCTCGGGGTGAGCAGTGTGGGGAGCCCAGCCCGGCCCCGGCGGCGTTAATGCGATTTGTGCTGGGCTTGACTAATGGAATAAATTAGGGCAGGAGCAGATGGTTCTCCCTGGGGGAGCTGCTCAGCCCGAGTGAACTGGGTCACTCAGCAATCTGTGGTGCCTCCCACCCCCCAGAGCTGGGCACAGGGACCCCCAGTGTCCGTGGCAGAGGTTGTGCCACGGGCTGTGCTCGGACACCGGGGGATTGTACCCCAGAGCTGAGCAGGGATGGAAGCATCAGCTGGGGCTTCCAGATGGGAATGAAAGCCCACTGGCTGTTATATTGGCATAGAATCAAAGGATGTTGGGCTGGAGGGGACCTCAAGGATCATCCAGTGCCACCCCTGCCATGGCAGGGACACCTCCCACTGTCCCAGGTGAGCCCCATCCAGCCTGGCCTTGGGCACTGCCAGGGATCCAGGGGCAGCACAGCTGCTCTGGGAAATCTGTTCCAGTCCCTCCCCACCTTCCCAGGGAAGAATTCCTTCCCAGTATCCAATCTAACCCTGCCCTCTTTCTCTTCAAAGCCATTCCCTGTGTCCTGTCCCTCCATCCATTTTGTAATGGAACCACAGAATGCTGGTTTTATATTTAAATGCAACTGTGGAGAAGTAAAAGTATCTGCCTAAGGTTCCACACTAGAATTAAAGTTCATTAGTTGTTATTATATTTCAAAAATAAAATTATTTCAGAGCTGCATAATAATTTTAAACTATTTAATATCAGTGAATTATAGTCAATATGGAATGTGAAAAGGGAAAATGACTGGAACAGATTGGAGGAGCTTAAGTTAATACCCAAGAATCTCCTCTTCTAAGTCTTCATTGTTAGGTTTTCTAAGAGCTGGTGATAATTCCTTTTAAGTTGATAAAGTGAGGCTTCAGTGGAGTTAGGAGTAGACTGGAGTGGTTCAGATGCTGTGGTGAGTGTGGTGGGCTCTGTCTCCTGCTTCCATGGAGTCACAGAAGGTTTTGGGTTGGAAGGACCCTAAAGCCCACCCAGTGCCACCCCTGCCATGGCAGGGACACCTCCCACTGTCCCAGGCTGCTCCAGCCCTGTCCATCCTGGCCTTGGGCACTGCCAGGGATCCAGGGGCAGCCACAGCTGCTCTGGACAATCTGCTGTAAGGTTTTAAAACAGTTCCCCACAATAAACAGCAGGAGCTTTGAGTGCTGCCCCAGTGCAGGCCGTGGAAGGGCTGAGTGGAGCTGCTCTGCAGCTGTGTCAGTGACAGTGGCCCCAGGGGAGCAAAGCAGGATCCAGCTCTTTGGGCTGGCATGCAGCTCCAGAGGAGGGCAATATCCAGCACACCTGTGCTGTTTAATGATTTTTAGGAAGTCTTTGTTCATGTCTTTCCAAGGTGGTTAATGACACTGATTTCTCAAGGCAGCCTCTGCAGGGGCTGTTGGAGCTACGTGAGCATTTCAGGTCTTACTCCAGCAGACATTCCCCTGACACCCATCCTGGGGCCCTCAGGCTGCAGCTGCTCTGTGCCAGTGAGTGAGGGACTGTGGTCTGATTTCCTGCATCCCATCACCAGTAAGTGCTGCCAGGGGAGGGTTAAATTCACCCTTTTGGGCAGGGGTTTGGTTAATTCCCAAGCACACACTCTAAAACACCACACACAAGGAGGGCACATACACCCTGTTATTTTAGTCATGCTTAGCAGGGAGATTTCTCTGCTGCTCTCCAGGGTGAGAACTCTGAGGTGATGGAAGCATTCCTAAACCAGTGGATTCCAGAGTGCCTGGAATATGATAATAATACAATATTATAATGATATAGCTTTGGGGGTGTCCTGGGGGCTGGGTCTGCACCCCTGGGGGTTGAGCCCATCGCTCCTCTCCTGCTGAATTCAGTGGCTCACACAGAAGCTGCTGTGGCTTTTCCAGCTCCCCCAGCAGCATTCCCAGCTCCCCAGGCTTCCCCATGGAGCCCTCCTGTTGCTGAGCCCCCAGGCTGAGTGAGGCAGGAGCAGAGGCAGCTCTGGTGGCTGTGCAGCCCTGATTTATTGTGGGAAATGTAAATGATGGTTTAGATAACAGCATCATTATCATACCCAGGGCCGAGGTATTTCCACAGCTATCGTGTATTTCCTCTCAATTAAATGTTAATGTCCCAGCCTGGCTGTGACAGGCTGTGTGTTGCCTCAGTGAGAGCAGAGGAGTCTGGGCTGTCTGGAGGGCATCTTAAACTGTTTGCTGAGCTGGAGCTCAGGCAGGTGGCTGCACTGCTGTTTGCAGAGCTTTGTTTGCTCCTCTCAGGACAGCGGAGGTTCCGGATCTGCTGCTCCTGCATCTCTCCAGTAACACAGGGAGTTCTTAGCAGGGAGATGTTTCATGGGTTTCCTTGTTGACCTAAAGTCCATTTGAGTTCTCTGTGAAGTCACTGACTTGGGCAGAATTCAGCTCGGAGTTCTTCACGTGTTAGTAAAAAGGGCTCAGTGTTCTTAGACATAGTGTGAAAAACAGAACAAAATTCCATAGAAACAGAACACCTGCTGATTCAGGTGGAAAGGGGCTTGGAGAGGTGATGATTCCTCATTTCCCAGTGGGTTTCCCTCTTGAGAGGTGTCTTGGGGTGGCTCACAACCATCTGCCTCTTCCTGACCTAAGAAATGTCCTTTCATTCAGGAAACAGGGACAGGAGAAGAGAGAGCGGTCTCAGGATGTGGCAGGGGAGGCTCAGGGTGGACACCAGCAGGAATTTCTTCATGGAAAGGTTGTTAAATATTGGCAGGGGCTGCCCAGGGAGGTATCCCAGGTAGGCCTGGCTGTGGCACTGAGTGCTCCAGGCTGGGGACAAGGAGGGCACTGGCACAGGGTGGACTCCATGGTCTCAGAGGCGTATTCCAGCTTTAATGGTTCTGGGATTCTGTGATCCCTGATTCCCACATCCTGCAAGGTGCACTATCTAACCTGCTGAAGGGAGTTCAAGAGCATCTTTGGTGCAGGGGAAAAGGATTTCAGGAGCTCTCTCCTAATTAAAGTCAAGGCTTCCCCCTTTGTCCCGGGGACACAGATCTCCAACTGATCAATTCCTCTGGTGTGTATTTTCACTAAGCTCATTAGATCACAGCTGAAAATCAGTGCAGTTGTGTTTGTGTCTGTGCCAGGGGCCAGAGGCAATTCTGTCATGGCTGTGCAGGAGGTCAGGCGTGTTTGGGCTTTGTGTCATCCTTTCATTTTGGAATTAGGGGTTAAGTTTTACCAGACTCTACTATTTTGAGGAATTCTTCATGGAAAGGGTGTTAAATGTCAGAAGGGGCTGCCCAGGGAGGTGGTGGAGTCCAGAGGTGCCCCAGGACATGGCACTCAGTGCTCTGGGCTGGTGACAAGGTGGGGGTCAGGCACAGCTTGGCCTCCGTGGTCCAAGGTCTTTTCCAGCCTTAATGACTCTGGGATCCTTTGAGTAACCTGTGATTTAGAGCCAAAAATAACTCCCACCCAGGCAAACTCATTTCCCCCCAGACTAACAATGGATAATTGTTGTCCCTTGTCCTGTGGTGTCCCACCCCTGGGACCTGGTGGCCCTGGGAGCTGCAGCCACCACGCTGTCACTGCGTGTCAGGGCTCTGCAGCTGATGCAGGAAAACACTTTTCAAAACCCATTGACTACAACCTGTCTGAAGCTGCTCAGCCTAATTTTAACCTAGCATGTAGTGCTGCAGCCAGCACCAGAGGAGCGAGGTCAAGTCAGGATGTTGGCAGTAATCTTGGTGTCACACGTCCCTTCCTTCCCAGGGTGTCCCTGGGCATGGGATGGAGCACTTGGGCTTGGGTGGTGTCCATCAATGTGTCCTGACACGCAGGAGGATCTGAGAGCACTTGGAGATGCTCTGTGTGCTTTTCCTTGAGAAAATGCTCTCTGAAGAGTGGCTGGGAAGCAGTTTGTGTTTCTGGGATGTCCTGTTTGTTTGGAGCTCCTGCCTGACAGGAGGGGACAGCCTGACAGTGGGGGTCAGGCTCTGCTCCCAGGGAACAGGACAGGAGGAAACAGCCTCAGGCTGGGCCAGGGGAGGAACACCAGGAGGAATTTCCCCATGGAAAGGGGGCTCAGGCCTTGGCAGGGGCTGCCCAGGGAGGTTTGGAGTGCCCATCCAGGAATTCCAGGTGCCCCAGGAATTCCTGGATGTGGCACTCAGGGCTCTGGGCTGGGGACAAGGTGGGCATTGGGCACAGGGTGGGCTCAGTGGGCTGGGAGGACTTTTCCAGCCTCAGGGATGCTGGGATCCTGTGAATTTCTCCACAGCAGCAGCAGCATCAGTCCCTCAGCAGCTCCCATGGCCCATGGAGGGGTCTCCTGGCCAGAGCAGCTGAGCTGCCCCTGGATCCCTGGCAGTGTCCTGCCCAGGCTGGGGACAGTGGGAGGTGTCCCTGCCATGGCAGGGGTGGCACTGGGATGATCTCAATGATCCTCACCAAGAATGTAAGTTTAGGTATTTCTGTGCAGTGTTTTTTTGGTTTGAGTTCCACCAGCCTGGGCACACTCAGAGTGTTCTGCACTTTGTCTCCCTTTTTTTTGTCTTAAAGGCTTGAATCCAGCTTTCTTTGTAAACCCTTCCCTTTCCTGGGAGGAATGACACTTTCCAGCCCAGCTTGGAACTCTGCTTCTAGGCTTGAAAGAGCTGTCTGACAAAATCTAATCGAGATTTTCCCTGTGACATTATTGGGTCACTAAATCCTAACTCTGAGATAAAACCTGTGAGGGAGAACGTCCCCAGTCTCCCTAAATTGAATTATGGTGGCAGATAGTTCAGATAAGTGGGTTTATCATCTTAAAATAGGCCAAGAGGAAAACTATTACCCTTCAGTCAGACATTTTAGTTGGTTTTTCTTATATATGGAAGGGACTTGTGTAAAAATTTCTCTACAGAGCTGTTGCTGTTCAAGAAGAACACTTTGTACCTTGTTTTTCCTCAGTGTAGCACACAGGAATTAGCAGGAAAATGAGGATTACTGAAAATGAACCCCAGCACCAGCTGATGTCTTCAGAAGCTTAGAGATGGATCAGGGCTTGTCACCAGCAGTTCTGCATCACCCCAGTCCAGGATCTAAATAAGCTCCTTTAATGCCTCTATATAAATTGTGAAATCCTTGGCCAGGACCATGAGCTTGTGCTTCCTCTCGTCTCTCCTTGTACAGCTGTGGATAAATGAGGATTTCTTGAACTTCTAAACAATCCCACGAAATATCAGGGATTCTAGAACATTACCCAGGCACTTCCATGGTGTTTCCATGGCTGGTTGACATCCCCTGATCTCCAGAACCAGCTGTCATTACAGGAGCATCTTAAATCAGTGTTTTATAAAGCAATCAATGAATTGCCAAGGGCTGTGTCCCAAGCACAGGATGCACTCCCAGCTCTTCCAGCACTCCTGCTACGAGGTGCACCCATCCAGCACCTGGAACAGAGGCTCCTTCATCTTCATCTTTATTATTCCTCCTTCTGTCCTCATGTTGGCCTCACTCCAGCATCACTTGGGCCCTGTGTGGTCTGGTTAGGGCTGGGAGGGATGGAAGTGCCCCAGGGCAGGGCTGGAGCAGCCTGAACCATCAGTTCAGTGCTGGCCCTTCCTGAAGCCACTGGTGGAGAGCAGCAGGTTTCAGTCAGCCCAAAACAGAGGGTGGCTCTGGGGACAGTTCTGAAACCTCCCTGTTTGTTTCTCAGATGGAGCTGAGGAGGAGAAGATGGAAACGGAGGCAGAGGGGCAGCCAGCAGAGAAGGTGAGTTTGGGTGTGCTGGCAGGAGGCTCCTGGCACTTCTGTCCTGAATTCAGGACTTTTAGGGTGCCTGCCACACAGGTGACAGCTGTGACAGTTTGTGCCCCCACAGGGACAGCTCCCAGCCTCCACAGAGCTCCATCTCAGTGCTGGAGTGTGGAATGACAGCAGTGAGGCATCAGTGGGGTGTTGTGGAAGGGAGGAAATGGGGAATGCTGTGGGAACTGGGATTGGAGCTGCACCAGGGGGGCACCCTGAGCCGGGGGGGCTCTGGGGTGGCACTGCAGGGCAGCTCTGGGGCAGGGCTCTGGGCACATGCCTGCCACCAGGGCTCTCAGGACACTCAGTTATCTCACTTTTCATATATCAGTCAGTTATCTCACTTTTCATATATCAGCCTTTTCTGCCTGAGGGGCCTCCAGCTGGGCTGCTCGAGGAGAATCCTCCCCACGAGAATTCCAGCTGGCCCTTGGCCCATCACATGTATTGTGATGCTGGGGTGACCCACCCAGCCCGTGAAGGTCAGCTGTTTAGGCACTAATTATCATTATCCTTCAACCTGTTGGTGATGACCACAAGGACACGTTTGTGGTCACGTTTGTGGTCACGTTTGTGAACACGTTTTTTCATAACCTGTGTCCTCAAACTGCAGTGGGTGTTTGGGATTAAAACAGGAATTCCAGGATACCAGTTTAGTTACTGCTAAATTACTCTAATATTTAAATTATTACTATTTTATTACTCTAATATTTAAATTATTACTGTTTTATTTATGTATTAATATAATGATGTTTAATGTGTATGTTAATAAAATTAGTATTTTAATTGTATATGTAAATTTAATTTTTAAATTAAAATAGTTTATTTATTATTTAATAATTTAAAATTTAAATGGTTTATTTATTATTTTAATTCCTGCTACATTCCTGATAAATAAATGGAAGTGGCTTCTTCTGGAGTCTGCAGCAACAGGAGATATTTCTTTTTGCCTCCTTCACCAGATGAAGAGTTCAGACTAACCTGGGGCTGATCAGTGCAGCCTTGGGGTTATTTCCCACTCTGTTTTCAGGTAGTTCTTCTACCTCCCTGATAAACAGGGACATTTGGGAAGAGATAAGTGAGGAAGACTCACTCAGGGCTTGGAAATCTGCATATTCCCAGACATCCCATAATTCTGTGATCTTAGTTCAGGAGTTTTTGTTCCCACAGAGTAACCCAGCTGTGTCTGGGTCGCTGGACTTGCTCCAGTTTACGTTTACTTTGATTCACACTTTGGGTTTGTTTGTCAAATTTGGCTCGAGCGGCAGCCCCCCTTTAAAGTGTAACCCCTTCCACTGCGGTAGGGAATTCTCTGGGATTTGCTCGTGGCCGTGACCAAGCAGTGAGTGCCTTGTCTCCCTGCCACTGTCCCACACTCTCCCCTTCAGGTGGAGAGCAAGGCTGAGAGCGAGCCTGAGGAGGGGGAGAAGGTCCCGGAGGGGGAGAGCGAGCGCAGCGCCGACAAGGAGCCCGAGAGCGACGACAAGGAGCCCAAGACAGGTGAGCGGAGCTGCCGCTGCTCACTCCTCCCCGCGGGGCCTGGGACAGCCCAGCCCTCTGGGAGCTCTGCCCGGGGCTGCTCTGTGCTCCCAGAGGCTCCAGTGAGCCTCCTGCAGAGCTCATCCCTGCCTGAGCTTCCCCAGAGGAGCTGCAGCCCAAGTGCCTGTGGGTCATGGTTTGCCCAAATTCCACAACATCTGATCGCTTTGGGTGCAAGGAAGTGGAACTGCTGGAGCACTGTTAAAGGTTGGGCAGGGCTGGGAGAAGCCTGGGACAGTGGGAGGTGACCCTGCCATGGCAGGGGTGGCATTGGGTGGGCTTTAAGGTCCCTTCCAACCCAACCATTCTGGGGATTCTCTGCTCATTTCTCCTACTGAAGTTAATATTTCAGCTCAGTTTCCCTGGGAAGTGATGCCAAGCCTGGATTTTGACAGGCTGAGGAGTAACAACATCTACATAAAACCTTATTCTTTTTTCATTTCCCCTGTGCTTCATAAAATCATGGAATGGTTTGGGTTGGAAGGGACTGTAAGGATCATGGCAGGGACACCTTCCACCGTCCCAGGCTGCTCCCAGCCCTTTCCAGCCTGGCCTCGGGCACTGCCAGGGATGGGAATGGATATATTGCTTTTTTCCTGCAACTTAGATTCAGGATTTTAGCACCATGTACAGTAATTTGGATTTGATGGAGTTGATTTGGAAATGATGAGGGGAAGCTGATGGCAGGTGCTGAATTGAGAGGATGGGAATGAGAAGCGTTTAAAGTCACCCCATTTGTTGAATCAGATCCTCTCAAAGTGGAGTTCCCCTGTCAGCATTTGCATGGGGAGCAGTGCTGGAACTGAGGATGAGTTAATTAGTGCCTGACTAATTAGCGTGGTGCCCTCCCATGCCGGGAACACGTGTAACAGCCTGGGCTGGGGTGTCTTGCAGAGGAAAAGGAGGCAGAGGAGAACAAGGAGAACGTTGATGGCAGCAAGGACAAAGAGGCCGAGGCTGGGAAGAAGAAAGTGGAGCACGAGATCTCGGAAGGAAACGTGGCCACAGCTGCAGCTGCTGCCTTGGCCTCTGCTGCCACCAAAGCCAAGGTTGGTGCTGTGCCAGCAGCCTGGGCCTGGCTGCCAGGGACAGCAGAGCTGTGCCTGGAGTGCTCCTTGCTCCCAGAGCTGGGCAGCTCACCCTCTGATCCCTGACACTCACAGCAGCACAAGTGCTGCCTTCACTTCTCCTGCCTGAGCCCCTGGGGGAGATAACAAACAGTTTTAATTAAGCAGCTCCTTAGGGATGTTCACCCAGCTCATCATCACCCAAGGAATAGCCCCAAAGTGTGTGTGACTTCTTGGCAAGGCTTTTGGCTGCCGGGGTCTGAGTGATGCTGAGGGGCCTCTGGTGCCCCTCCTGCTGCCCCAGGGCCCCACAAAACCCCTGGGCTCTGGGTGGGGCAGGCACAGGGGATGCTCAGTCCTGGCACTGCAGCTTTCAGACACCCCAGTGATGTGTGTTTTGTTAAGAGTTCTGTTAAAAGCACGTTGGTGTGTCCCCTGAGCTCCTGTTTGTGTGTGGTCTCTAATGAGCTCTGTTGAATCAGCTTTTCTTCACCCTGTAATTACTAATTGCACGTTGTCTTGCCTTTCCTTTTGCAGGAACCACGCTGCTTTTAGAGTATCTTTTTCAAGTCTGTTTTCTCTTTACAAATTCCTCTGGATTCAAGTTTTAATTTGGGTTTTTTAATCGCTCTTGGATTCAGTACCACATTCCACATCCACCTGCTTTACAGAAACCAAGAGCAAGGCTTGGGTGTTTATTCCTGATGGATTTCCATGGATAGACTGAGGTGTTGTGTGTTCTGTTAACTTTTCCACCCTGATCTTTGACTCTTTAACTTCAGACTTTTTCCCAGGCTGCATCCCCCAGAGTGAGGATGGTGGATCCTTGTAGTCCCTCCTTTTGAACCCAGGGGGTGGAGGATGCTTTAGTTCTTGCCTTTCAAACCAGGCTGTAAAATCCCACATGGCAGACAGCTCCCTGTCCATTAAAATCCCAAACTGCAGCAAAGCTGAGGTTCAGTATTTTGGTGAAGTGCAAAGTTCAGAGTGGCTCTCAGTTCATCAGACTCACAAATATCCTCAGCCAAATTGGGAAAAGCTGTATCTGTGTGAGGAGACATGAGATTTACTCTGTGTTTTATGGAAGGCCACTTGCTCCAAGTGAAGATGAGCTGCTGCTCCCTTTGGAGATGAGGAGCTGGAGGGAGAGGGGCCTTGCTGATGGCACTTTTCATTATGGCAATAATAATGGTCTGGAAGAGCTTCAGCTTTCCATTACAGGGAATCATGTATTGTAATTAGGGGGTTGACACTTCAGAGTAGAATTCAGGTTCAGCAGGGATTTCTCTTCCCACTCCCTTGAAAAGCCAGACAATATTAGAGCTTTGGCTGGTCTGTGTCTTGTCTGAGGGAGTAATTAAACTCTTCATCATAAACTCTAGGCCTGCTCATGTGAAAAGCTATTTTCCTTAGGATTTTATATCAGAGCAATATTGCAGTTGGATTCTGAGTGAAGATGGGGGTTAAAGGCAAGGGATTGAAATGGGGAAATGGGGGTTTTGTTTGTTTGGGTTTTTTTTTCTTTTTTGTCTTTTTTTTTTTTCTTTTGGGATCAGTGGCTTCCAGAAGTTGAGTTGTGCTGTTTGAGAAATGGTGAACGTGAATGTTCAGGGTGAGACTCTGTATTTCACACAGACCAGCAACTGAAATGTGTTTTCAGAGGTTCTGGTTTCTCAACAAACAGCATTAGAATTTAAGTACCTTCTGCTGATTTTCCTCTCACTGGACACCCAGTGTGAGCTGGTTTTTCCTTTCTGTGCAGAAGCATCCCTGATGGTTCCTGGCCTGTGCTGCTCCTGCTCTGCTCCAGCTGGGGCTGAGCTGCAGAACTGCTGCTCTTGATCCATCTCTTCTCCTTCCCAGAGCTGTCCTGGTCCCAGTTTCACCTGCTGGAGGTGCCTGGAGCTGAAGAGATCATTGCTGGAGGCTGCTGATCCCAGTGGGGCTCCAGGAGAGCTGCAGAGGGACTGGGGACAAGGCATGGAGGGACAGGACACAGGGAATGGCTCCCAGTGCCAGAGGGCAGGGATGGATGGGAGACTAGGAATTGGGAATTGCTGGCTGGGAGGGTGGGGAGGGGCTGGGATGGAATTCCCAGAGCAGCTGTGGCTGCCCCTGGATCCCTGGCAGTGCCCAAGGCAAGGCTGGACAGGGCGGGCGCAGCTGGGACAGTGGGAGGTGTCCCTGCCATGGCAGGGGGGCACTGGGGGGGTTTGAGGTTCCTTCCAACCCAAACCATTCATGCATTCCGTGATTCCTTTTTATAGAATCAAGTAGGTTGGAAAGGCCCCTTAGGATCACTTGCTCATTTATGACTCGAGGCTGGTGCAGTCCTGGGTTTATCAGGCATTTCAAATTACCACTGAATTTGTGTTCCTGATTTTCCTCAGCTCCAGCTGTAAGGATTTGTCCTTTGCCCATGGAAAGCCCTGGGTAGTGCCAGGCTGAGCCTCTTTGAGTCTGTCTAGGAAAAACTTCAGGGATAATTTCCTTTCCAAGGTGTATTTTGAAACCTGTCCTTTACCTAATCATGTGCTCTGATCAGACATTCATCCCATTTCATTATTAAAACTGCACGTGTGAAACAGAGTGAAACGTTTGGTAGAAGACTGTATCCCCAGGTGATTCCCTCACTCTGAATTTTCATACAAACCAGTTTATTTTACTTAGCAGTGTTATTTAATGTGAAATTTCCTGTTCTGTCAGCTTTGTTTCATTATTTTGTGTGCAGCACTTCGCTCAGTTCTGGAACAGCTGCTGGAATTTCTCAGGGATGTGGTGTTGGATGAGCTTGGAGTCACTCTGGTGTTCTCAGACCTGATCTGAAATTCACTTTAGAGAGTCAGGAGTGCATTTACCCACATTTACTGAGCCCTCCCTCACTGCTGCTGGGTCAGGGAGGTGAACGTTGTCAATGGCACGGTGTCACATGGATTTGGGAAATTCAGATTCTGCTCAGGGTTCCGGGGAGGTTTTCAATGCTGCTTTCCTCCAGCTCTGGGTTTGTCCCAGTTCTGGGCCAGTTTGGGGCCCAACTCCCTCAGAAGGGGTCTGTTTGCAGCTGGAGCTGGATGAGCTCCAGCTTTCCCTTGTTTCCTTCTCCCCTCAGCCCTCACCTTTCCCCTGTGACAGGGATGTGTCCTTGGACAGGTCTGTGAGCACAGAGCCCCCCAGGCAGGCTGCACTCTCAGGGGTTCTCCTGCTGAGCAGCAGGTTTTGAACAGAAACAGGCAGAGGCATCATGACCACACTTGTCACACTCTGAGGGTGTGAAACACTTCCATGGCTGCCTCGTGTATCAGATATATATACACAGATCTCTGGTGTTATTTATGTGTGGATATAAATGGCATGAAGTTAATCCTTGTAAAAATCAATTTGCCTTCTGCTTGAGAAAAATCTATTTTAATGGCAAAGACATGGCAGTGCCATCTCCCTGGTTTGGGGTCATTCTGGGTCACAGCCTCCTGTGTGTGTCCTGCTGGGAGCTTTTTGGGTGACCCTCAGCTGACTCCACTGAACAGACTCTTCCTTCTCCCTCATTTGCATTCCCACTGGAAGGGCTCCCTGTGCCCTGGGAAAGCTCTGAGCATCCTCCACACCTCTTCTCTGAAACCTTCACACCCATTTATTTGATTAAACCTTAATAATCTTCCAAGGGCCTCTGGTTCCCCGCCTAATATTTATTATCTAATTCCCAGTTTCCTGTCCAGAAGTGGAACAGGATGGCTGAAGCTGGATGATTCCCCCCTCCCAGCCCCTTCCTGTGCCCAGTGTCACAGAACAACCCCTGTGTTTCATCCCCAGCACCTGGCAGCTGTGGAGGAGAGGAAGATCAAGTCCCTGGTGGCCCTTCTGGTGGAGACTCAGATGAAGAAGCTGGAGATAAAGCTTCGCCACTTTGAGGAGCTGGAAACCATCATGGACCGGGAGAAAGAGGCAGTAAGTGGAATTTGGGATTAAAGCTCTCACTGCATCTGGAAAACCAGCAGCTCCTCCCCTCTCCTTTGTGTCTTCCTTCAGCTGGAACCCATAATCCCTCCCACAGTGGCATTTGAGCCCTGTCCTCCTCCATCCAGTGTTTGTTCCATAAGCAGCACACCGGGGTATCCTGGGTTTGCTTCCTCATCCTTACTCTGAGCAGGAACATGGAATTGAGCTTCATGTGGCCTTGTCACATGGATTGTGTCTGACCTCAGAGCAGCTTTTCCCTGGCAAGAGTGAAAGGGGTGAACCCCACCCTTCCCTAGGGGAGGGAGCAACCCTGTGTGCCTTTCCCCCTGAGCCTGTCCAAACATGGAATTGAGCTTCATGTGGCCTTGTCACATGGATTGTGTCTGACCTCAGAGCAGCTTTTCCCTGGCAAGAGTGAAAGGGGTGAACCCCACCCTTCCCTAGGGAGGGACCAGCCCTGTGTGCCTTTCCCCCTGAGCCAGGGGGTTCCATGGAGACAGTTCAGGTTTCTGGGGGCACTCGGAGCAGCTCCTGGGAAAGCCCTGGAAGGGGGATGTGGAGGTGGAAGGGGAATGCTCAGGAGTGCCAGCCTCACTTTGTGCTGCTGCTGATGGGTTTGCCTGAGCTGGAAGGCAGCAGCAGCTTCAGGAGAGGGGAAGGGAGCAGTGAGGTCAGGACATGGAGAGGAGCTGTCTGGCCTGGATTACTCAGGAATTACCAGCAGTGCCAGAGGCTTTGGAGAAGTGTTTCCTCTCTGGCTGCTTGAAAGATGACTCAAAATCTCATTTCTATCAGAATGGCCAGTTTTTAGTTTCTTTTTTCTGTATGTAGCTGCCTCATTGTTGTGAGGGTGCCTCATTGGGTTGAAGATTCAAACTGGGTTATGTTGATTCATAATTCCAGGGATTGCAGCATTTACCCTTCTGTGTGAATTTAATGGAGTTACACCTACATTTCCATTCATGGAAAGGGCACCAGGTCCAACTCCTGCTCCTCACAGCACCCAAAACTAAGCCATGTGACCAAGAGCATCCTGCAGGCATTGCCTGAGCCCTGCCTGGCCTGATGCCATGGCCACATCCCTGGGGAGCCTGGCCACCCTCTCCACGGAGAACCTTTTCCAGTCCAGAGTTCCCCTAATCACACTGATGGAGTCTGACAAGATGTGGCCTTCTCTTGGAGCAGGATGTCAGCAGGAATTTCTGGATTGCTCCACATCCTCCAGTGTTTCAGTCTGTGTTTGACTGGCAGCTCAGGAAATGGACCCAGCTCTTTTGGAAAGGTTCCCTGCAGATTCTTTCTTTGGGGGATATATTCCATTAGTGACAGGGAGTTTTTTTTCCTCCCTTTTGAGGCATATGACATTTCCCTTTTTAAAAATGTGCATACAGATTTTCCCCTTGGCTTCCTGGTGGTTAAATTCGCTCTTTTCACCTGTCATTGTGGATATTTAGTGGAATAATTAAAGCAGCAAAACCTCCTTGCTGCCACTGCACACTGTGCCTGTCGTTCCTGCTGCCCTGGCTTTTCCTTGCAGGGAGGGAGCAGGGACTGTGAGTGCTGACAGGAGTCAGTGCTGCAGACTGCAGGGGGGCACATCTCAGGCAAAACACGTTTATTTGTGTTGGAGCTGAGCACTGTCAGCAGTGCCAGTGCTGAGTCTGGGAAACCAGGGGCTGTTGGTGGAGCTTGGCCCACCCAGAGATTCTGATGGCACCTGAAGCTTTGCTGGTTCTGTTCAGGGAGGAATTCCTGAATCCCTGAGGTGGGAAAAGCCCTCCCAGCCCATGGAGTTCACGCTGTGCCCAATGCCCACCTTGTCCCCAGCCCAGAGCACTCAGGGACACCTGCAAGGATGGGCACTCCAAACCTCCCTGGGCAGCCCCTGCCAAGGCCTGAGCACCCTGTCCATGGAGAAGTTCCCCCTGGAAGGAAGTCCTGTGCTGGAGATGAGGCTGTGGCACTGATTTGTTGTTTGAGTGAACATTAAGTGCTTGTAGTTGCCCTTCCTGGTGCACCACTTCCACAGCAGCACAGAAAGGGGTGTTGGATATTGGGACTGTCAGCTGTGACACCCAGAACCACCTCCCTGAATTCCAGCTGGTTTCCTGAGTGGCTTTTGTGGGCAGAATCTGCAGGAGAGGGTCCAGCAGGGGCCACAGAGATGTTCAGGGCTCTGGGGCATCTCTGATGAGCACAGACTGCAGGAGCTGGGCCTGCTCAGGCTGGAGAAGGGAAAGCTCCCAGGGATCCCATCAATCCACACAAATCTCCCAACCTGTGTGCCAGGAGAAGGCTGCCAGACTCTGCTCAGTGACAGGACAGGGAGCAGTGGCCACAAACCAAACCACACCAGCTGCAGCTCAGCAGCAGGAACAGCCTCTGCCCATGGAGGGGCAGAGCCCTGGAACAGCTCCCAGGGGGGCTGCAGTCTCCTCTCTGGAGACATCCCAGACCCCCCTGGACACAGCCCAGGGGACCCTGCCCTGCCAGGGGGGTGGCCTGGGTGACACCCAGACCCTCCCAAGCCAGGCACCCTGGGGTTCTGTGGCAGGGCTGCCCTTGCTGAAGGTTCTCAGCCTTGCTCCTGCCTCATTCCAGCTGAGGAATGGCTGAGATGGAGAGCAGCTGAGGTCACTGCTGGAGTTCCCACTGGAATTGTGGCACTGGAGAAGTTGTTCCAGTGCCAGGGTGGGGGGCAGCTGGGGGTTGTGTCTGAGGTGGGACAGAGCCTGCTCTAGAACCAGGGCTTTGGGTCTGCACTAGAGCCCCAGCTTGAGCTAGGCTCAGCTTTAGCACCAGCTCACGTTATAACTTGTCTTTCTGTGCCTTTTTCCCTCTGTCCAGCTGTCTTTCCTCATCCCAGTCACAGGGATTGTGTAGAAGGGAAGTTTTCCCTGGTTTTTCTCCTCCAATGTGAATTTTCAGGCACTGGCTGCTGTTCGGGCATCCTTGTAAAGACTCTTTTAAACTGTAACGGGGTGGGGTGCCATGAAGAGAGCAAAGCAGGGCCACAAAAGGGTCTCAAAGGAACAAAAAAGTGTTGCCTGAGCCTTTGTTTGGGGTCATTTGCAGGAATTCCTCTCGCAGCTGTCTGCCACCTCGGGAATGTTTCCCCACACACCCCATTTCCCCGGTGGGGTGGATTTATCGGTGCTTCCCTCAGCATATGAGAGCAGAAAAGAGCCAGGGCAGCGTGAATGATGCCATTGTGGCCGGGAGCAGCCTCCCCCGGCCGGGATCATGTTTAATTCATGAGCTCGGCCCATCTGGGGCTGCTCAATGCCGCCTGTGTGAGCTGCCTTCCCCTCCCCATGCCTGCCTCGTCAGCAGCCAGCCTGCCAGCACCGACTACTGAGGGAGCTTTGGGATTTTTGGAGAACTCGTGCTAGGTGAGAGTCTCCTTGGCAACCTGCTTTTCAGCTGAGTTGTGGAGTCTACCTTGAAACACTGCTTCAATATTTGTACACGAGTCACGCAGCCCCGGGTCCGGTCATAACGTGGGAATGTGTCAATATTCCTGAAATAAGTCAGATATCACTTCCTTCACTAGGACCTGACCCATCATACAGATGCTCAGTGGTAGGAAATGCTTCTTGTAGCTCTTTTCTTTCCATGGAATCTCAGACTGGTTTGGGTAGGAAGGATCTTCTGGATCATCCAGTTCCACCCTGGGCCAGGTTGCTCACTGTCTACGTGACTTCTTAATTAATCAAAGTAGCCTATTTGATGTTAATTGGCCTAAATGACGTGAGGTTTTTTACATAAAGCTCTTAATAGTGCAAATCTGTGTCTGGCTGCTGTGGCATCCAGTTCCTGCACTCAGAGGATGGAGAAGGATCCTGCCTGTGATCCCTGAGCTCCTGCAGCTGCACACACGTTCTGCTTCAGGCTTTCCTAGAAAATCCCCTGAAATTCCTGTTCTCCCTCTTTCCAACGTGCAGAAGATGGAGAGAAAAAAATCCCAGTTTCTTCCAGAGCTGTGCTAGGGCTGAGCTCTCAGTGCAGAGCTCTGTGAGTAAGGAGCTGTGCTGCTGAGAGGTTTTAGGACAGAACAAGGTGAGTTCATGTGTTCCAGCTAGAAAAAGCTCCAGAGCCTTTCCCAGAACCTGCTGCACACATCCACAGGACAGCAGTTCCTTTTGGGTTTGGTGGGGTTGGGATGAGAGGCTTCTTCCACCCCAGCCCACTGATGGGCAGGAGCACCTTTGAAATGCATCATTGCTGACTGCCCTCTGTCCTGTCCTGGCACAGCTGGAGCAGCAGAGGCAGCAGCTGCTGACAGAGAGGCAGAACTTCCACATGGAGCAGCTCAAGTACGCCGAGTTAAGGGCTCGCCAGCAAATGGAGCAGCAGCACAGCCAGACCCCCCAGCAGCCCCACCAGCACCCCAGCGGGCCTGGCATCAACCCCCTGGGGGCACCAGCACACCCAGGGCTGCTGCCCCACCAGCAGCCCCCACCCTACCCCATGATGCACCACCAGATGCCACCTCCTCACCCACCTCAGCCAGGTAAGAGCTGGGAGCAGGGGATTCCTGCCCTGACCCCTGAGGAGTGGGCCCAGAGGGAGAGGAGCTGCCTGGGGAGGGTGTGGGTGGCCTGGGTTACTGGTTTGTAATGGTGCCACTGGCAGACACAGTTTGCTGCAGAGATGAGCTTTGCACCTTCTGCAGCTTCATTGTGGAGCTCCCACCCCCATTCCAGATGGGGAGGAGGTGTCTTATGGAGGGGGGAAACCCCAGAAGTCAGGAGTGGGGGAGTGCCAGGGTGGGAGGCTGTGGGCACCAGCAGGAGGAATTCCTGCCAGCCACAGGAAAACACTTTTTTTCCTTGGGGGGCTCATCAGCCCCAGAGCAGATTGTCCAGCAGGGCTGGGAGTCCCCTGCCTGGGACACTCAAGCTGTAAAGTGAAATATGAAGCTGCCCCAAGCACTTCCAGATGTTTTTTGGTTATTTGTATTTCCTTAGAGTTGTTTTATACTGGGTGATCTGAGCAGATGCTCCTTCAAAAAACATCACTCCTCCAATTCTCCATTTCATGGCACACCAAATGTACAGAAATTAAGGGAAAGGCCTGGGAGGAGCATCAGGGGCAGGAAGCTCCTTAAGGACCTTTTTTGGCAGGAGACCTGACTGTGAGAGGTTCCTGTGTCCTGCCTGGATTGTTTGATGCCAGGGGAGGGTCACAGGGCTCTGTTGGCCGGAGGGGTCACCTGGCAGATCCAGTCCAGCCTCTCCTGCTGCCAGAGCACTGGTCCTGCTGAGGGCTGGCTTTCTCCAAGGGTGGGTACTCCTGATTCCAGAGGGTGGGGTGATCAGGTGATGATGTGAATTGGCAGCTTTTATTTGCTAAAGGTTGTTGAAATGGTAATTTAAAAATCAAATAACAGTGCCTAGCATGTGGGAACCTGGCTGTGGGACGGGATACAGCCAAGGAGGAGCTTGACCAAAACCTGCTCCAGGAGAAAACCTGATCAGTTATTAGCCAAAAGTATTTGGCAAGATTTTTTTTTGCTTCTTCAGCAAGCTGCTGAAGAAGCTGGAAAGTTTGAGTGTCATAATCCACCTAGAACATGGCAAAAAGAAGCTGCAGGAACTTGAGTTTTCCTCTTGAGACAAAAAGTGTTTGGTTTGGGAAGGAGCAGAAGGGCCCAGGAAAACAGCAGGATTTGCAGGTGAGCAGGAAAATGGGAAGTATCTAATCCAAGTGGATCTGCAGAGTAATCCAAGGGGGTTCCCTCAGCAGGTGCAGAGTTCTGGCTGGGCAGGGGGGGAAGAGGTGCCTGGTGAGGCTCAGGCTCACTCTGCTTCTAAGGCTCAGGGAATTCCTGAGTTACTATGGACAGAAGTCCCTGGGACTGTTTGGGAGCTGGTGTGGTTTTTGCTGGAATTGGATTTGGGGTGTAATAAAACAGGGTGTAGTTTTAGGCTCAGATTTAACATCCTGGCTCTCTGGGTGTGTTGTGGGGTGTGGACAGCTCAGGGCTGCTCACGTGAAGGATAACCTGGGAAGGGACACTGGCAAATGAGAGCAGAGGAAAGGAGGGAATCGTGGCACATCCATGCACAGCTGTCCCTCCCACACTGCTGAGGAGACTGGGAGTGGGACAAGGCATTGCTGGCTTTGCTCCCTGGGGCTGCTAACTCCCCTGGCTCACACAGCCCTGTGTTACTGCAGCCCCTCACTGCCACCCAGGCTCTGCATTCCCAGAGCAGGGACAGGAATGGGCTCTGCTCATTAGCCACAACAACTCTCTTCCAGGCTGGATTAAAGCTGCTCCATAGATTGACTTTGCCAGCAGCACCTCCCCTGGCTGAGGCAGCAAAGCCCTGCTGAGGCTCAGCTCTCCTGGCTCCCAGCAGCTTCCAGAGCTGTCTCATTGCTGGCCCCCAGGACCAGGAGCTGCCCTCACCTCCTCTGACAGTTCTCTGCTTTGATGCTCTTGTAAAGAGAAGAATCTGAGGCCTGCTCTAGGTTTGGAGCAAACCCCTCTGTGTCTCCAGCCAGATCCCAGCTGATCTTGCCTAGGAGGCGGAGGAGGCTCATGCCTTGAGTTCTCCAGAGAAGTTGGTTAGGAATGCCTGGCAGGCCTAGGGGTGCCAGAGCTCTTTGGCTGCACAGTAGAGTTATTCTGGCTTGAGAGCATGGAGAGGAAATGGCAAACTGGTGAACTTCATCTTGTTCACCCCACAGCTGTCAGTTCCCTCAGGGGATCTGCAGCCTTTGTGGAGATCCCAAATTTGGTGAGTGTGAGGAGATCATGGAGTCCTGGAATGGTTTGGGTTGGACTTTGAAAATCTCCCAGTGCCACCCCCTGCCCTGGGCAGGGACACCTTCACTGTCCCAGTCTGCTCCAAGCCCCAGTGTCCAGCCTGGCCTGGGACACTGCCAGGGATGGGGAGGAGAAACCCCCAAACCCCTGAGGGTGACCCAGGAGCACCATGGAGCAGCTGGGCTGGGAATTGCTGCCCAGCTCGTGCTGTGCTGGCCAGGTTCCACTGCAGAGCTCACCTCTGTGGTGCTCAGAGGTGGCTCCAGGCAGGTTCTGGGCTCAGCAGCAGCTGAAGGTGCCACCCTGGGCTCAGCAGACCGTGAGCAGGACACGGCGTCCTCGAGAGCTGCAGGGATGGTGGGAAGCAAAGGGAGCAAAGGATCTGAGATGCCATTGGAGAGGGAAGAGAGGAGGATAAATCCCTGCTCAGGGGCAGAAGCAGTAAAGTCAAGCTCTTACCTAAAAGTTAAAAGTGAGGCATTTCCCAGAAGTATGGTTTTTAGCTCAGGTGTCGGTCTGGACTTGGTGGTGGAGAACATCTCCAGTGCTGGACCCATCTGGAGAACATCTCCAGCCAAGGGTTGCCCACTTCTCCTTGGCATGGCCCATCTGGCTCTGCTGGACCATGGAATTCATTTTCCCTGAGTTTATTTTGTTCTCCCCTTTGCTCTGGAATGAAAACTTTTAGAACAGGAAAACAAAGTTGGATTCCAGTTTCACTGTGAAAAACTGCACCTTGTCACTGCAATAGGAAATCAAATTCCCAGTTTCTTCTCGTGCTACCACTTTGGGCACTGGACTGATTTCTGTTCAAGCTCTGGGCTGGTGATCAGTGGGATGAGAACTCCTGGTTCTGGTGATACCCATGGTGTGGAATAGGAGAAACTTCTGGAAATCCTTGGAGGAAGAGAGATAGCTGGGAATTAGTAGCTGTCATTATTAACTCTTCCTTCAGGTGGGATTTGCAGCTGGTAAATAATTTCTGACCTAAGGCAGAAATGGAATGAGGAGGGCAGCATCCCACCACAGCTGGATGAGCAACTTTAATAACCTTTTCCCTGATAGATTTTACCTCTTCTGTCAGTGGTTGAAATACTCAAAACTAAGGCAGAAATGGAATGAGGAGGGCAGCATCCCACCACAGCTGGATGAGCAACTTTAATAACCTTTTCCCTGATAGATTTTACCTCCTTTTCTGTCAATGGTTGAAATACTCAAAGAAAGGACTTTGTCAGGAATTTTGGGCTTGGGGTTTTTCAGCTGCTGAGCATCTCATTATTTGTGGGTTTGAGTTGCTGGATGCTATTTGCTTCCTTATTGGACTGGTGATGATTCCAGGGGTCTTTTTGGGTACAGAAAGGTATTTTGAGTTCACTTCCTTTAGGTAAAAATTCCCTAACAGCTGTCAGTGCTTCCTATTTCTCCATCAGACGTGCAGAGCTTGCTGGGGAGGTGCAGGGAGCAGTGGGGTGAAAGGAGATCCAAGTCAGGGCTGGTGAAAGGGGTTGGAGCTGATCCATGGGGTAAGGAGGGTGTTATTTGGGATTGGAGCTGTGAGGGTGGTCGGTGACACAGGAGCACTGACACCACGCTGGGCTCCCTGTGCTGCAGCTGGGCTGCTTGGGGCTGGAATAGTGAATAAAGCAGTAAATATCTGATACACTGCAGAGTTCCAGGGCTCAAGCAGTGAATCAGAGACCCCAGGACAGTGGCTCCTCTGGAGCAGCCAGCACTGTGCTGCCCTCCCCTCCCCTCTGCAGGGCTGAGCTCTCCCTGGGACGTTTGGTGGGGGATCCTTTCCTCTGGAGGGTGACAGCAGCAGCTCCCCAGAGATGCTCCAGTGATTCCTATGTGCCTCCTGGGGCTCTGGGAATGGTGCCCCAGGAATGGTGCCCCAGGACCCCGGGGCAGGGCTGGCTCTGGGAATGGTGCCCCAGGAATGGTGCCCCAGGACCCCGGGGCATGGCTGGCTCTGGGAATGGTGCCCCAGGACCCCGGGGCAGGGCTGGCTCTGGCCCGGGAGGGGTCTGGAGGGAGGGGCAGGAACAGAAACGCTGGGTGCCAGTGAAGTGGAAACTGTGCCTCTCCTTCCCCAGACACGAGGCTAAATGAGTTGTTGTGGTTAATTATTCACACTGCTTGCCTGGGGAAGGGGAGGGAAGGGTGGATTTGCTGTTGGAATACCCCTGCCCGTGGCAGGGGTGGGATGAGATCAGCTTTAGGGTCCCTTCCAAGGCAAACCATTCCAGGATTCCCAGAGGCTGTGAAACCCGTTCCCAGTGGGAAGGAGCACACCTTGGGACGGCAGCAGGCATTCCCTGGAGCTGTTCTCTGCCTCTCCCGTGTCAGCTGGGCTCATCCCCAGAGCTGCTCCCTGCCCTCCCGCGTCCTGCCCACCCAAGGCCCCTCCTGCACGGAGCACTGGCTGTGTCCACAGGTTTTCCCTGCACAGGCTGGGCTGGGAGAGGTGCTGGAGGATTTGGACCTGCTCCAAGCCTCATGCATCAAAACAAAAACCTCTCTGGCTGCTTATCAGCCCGGTGCTGCTAAAGTGCTGATTTAATAGAGGGAGAGGCTTTTTAGTGGAGATAAATACCTTGGAGAGGCTCTAAAGGCAGTTCCTCCCCGTTTCCCTGGGATGGGGAGCTGCTCTGGCAGCAGGGGAAGGTGAGCCTGCCCAGCCCCTCCGTCTGAGGGGTTTTCAGTCTGTTAAATCTCGTTGTGTTGAACCTTTGGGCTGGATCTCTTCCTGCAGCTGCTGCTCCTAAGCTCTCCCCCCTATGTAGGTCACACTTCCACATTTTCTGCTTGAGCCGCTGTCTTCCCATGTCCCAAGTCCCTCTCCAGCTCTCCTGGAGCCCCTTTGGCTCTTAGGTCCTTCCCCCTTTCCTGGGTTTAGGGGGCTGGAGCTGTTTCCACCCCTGTGTCATTCAAATACTGTGCCTCCATGGAAGTGTTGAAGGAAGTGGAATTGGATTATGCCAAACCATCCCTCAAATGAGGTTTTAAAGCACCAGCCCCAAGCTGGAGTGCCCAAGGCCGGGTGCTGTAGCTGGAGCAGGGAGGTCTCCCGTGGAGCTGGTTTGTGAGGAGGAGCCTTGGAATCCTCCCTCACAGCAAAACAGGGAATCATAGTAGGAATTCCTGTGCAGCCCAGTTTTAACTGTATGACTTCAGTTCTCCCACGAGATTTATCCATGAGGCTTCATGGCTGCTCCTTTCCCTCAAGGCTCTTCTCTGCTGCCTTGTTACTCCATTTGCTTCCCGGCACTTGGATTCCGTGGCTGCCCTTTCTGCTCGCAGTGCCAGCCTGTGCTGTGTCCCACTTTTCCCTTGTGAAGGGCTTCCAGGTGCCCCCCTGTTCCTGCCTGGAGGTGTGCTGGGGGTGGGAAGGCGTTTCCTGGGGGTGTGGAGCAGCCCCGGAGCCGGCTGGGGCACAGCCCTGCTGCCTGTCCTCACCCGTGTGTGTCTGTCCCTCTGTCCCTGCAGGTCAGCTGCCGGGGCCGGGCTCCATGCTGCCGGGCCGGATGATGCCTGCGGGCATGCACGGGGGGAGCGGGCCGGCCCCGCCCGGGATGGCCCCGCTGCCCGGGAACCTGCTGGGACCGCGTGTGCCGCTGGCAGCCCCCAACGGAATGTGTGAGTGCAGCCCCGGGGTGCCCTGCCCTGAAACCCCTGCTTCCTGTGGGAATAGCGGGATCTGTGTGAGTGCACCCTCCCAGGGGTGGTCCTGGGGTGCCCTGCCCTGAAACCCCTGCTCCCTGTGGGAATAGCAGGATCTGTGTGAGTGCAGCCCCGGGGTGGGTGCTCTGGGCTCCCCTGCCCTGAAAACCCCTGCTTCCTGTGGGAATAGCGGGATCTGAGCACACTGGGATAGTCCTGGGGTCCCCTGCCCCACAAACCCCTGCTCCCTGTGGTAATAGTGGTATCTGAGCATGCTGGGGTGGTCCTGGGGTCCCCTGCCCCACAAACCCCCTGCTCCCTGTGGGAATAGCGGGATCTGAGCACACTGGGATAGGCCTGGGGTCCCCTGCCCCACAAACCCCCTGCTCCCTGTGGGAATAGCGGGATCTGAGCACACTGGGATAGGCCTGGGGTCCCCTGCCCCACAAACCCCCTGCTCCCTGTGGGAATAGCGGGATCTGAGCACACTGGGATAGGCCTGGGGTCCCCTGCCCCACAAACCCCCTGCTCCCTGTGGGAATAGCAGGATCTGTGTGAGTGCAGCCCCGGGGTGGGTGCTCTGGGCTCCCCTGCCCTGAAAACCCCTGCTCCCTATGGGAATAGTGGGATCTGAGCACACTGGGATAGTCCTGGGGTCCCCTGCCCCACAAACCCCCTGCTCCCTGTGGGAATAGTGGTATCTGAGCATGCTGGGGTGGTCCTGGGGTCCCCTGCCCCACAAACTCCCTGCTCCCTGTGGGAATAGTGGGATCTGAGCATGCTGGGATGGTCCTGGGCTCCCCTGCCCTGAAAACCCCCTGCTCCATGTGGGAACAGCAGGATCTGTGTAAGTGCAGCCTCCAGGGATGGATGGTCCTGGGGTCCCCTGCCCTGCAAACCCCCTGTTCCTTGTGGGAATAGTGGGATCTGTGCACGCTGGCAGCTCCCAATGGAATGTGTAAGTGCACCTCCAGGGATGGATAATCCTGGACTCCTCTGCCCTGCAAACCCCCTGCTTCCCTCAGGAATAGTGGGATCTGAGCATGCTGCCAGTCCCAGAGTGCTGCCAGGGATGTGCTGGAAGCTTTAAGTGCTCCTCAGCCCTCTGGGCATCCCAACACATCCCATTGTCCTTTATTTTATTTATACATCCCTTATTTTATTTATAACCATACAGAGGCTTGGTGGTGATGATCTAAAGCCTTTCCTGACTTTAGTGGAGGGTCTGGAATTAACTATAATTTCTAAATACTGGAGGTCAGAGTAGGATCCAGTTCAATAATTCCATAGTGAAAACTTGGCACCCTGGAATTGGAGCATGGAAGTCCTGATTAGGAAAAAGGAGAAGATAAACCATGTAAAGAACATTCCCAGTATAAAATCTGTACCTCCAAAAATGAAGTTGATTTATGGCAGCCAAAAAAGCAGCTGGATCAGGAGCCATGGTGTGGGAGTTGCTTGAATGAGAGTGAGAGTGTGGCCAAGCCCAGAAGGCAGAAGACAAGCTGGCACAGGGAGGAATGACTGAGGAATTCTCCATCAGGAATTCCTCAATAAATTTGCCATTATTAATTGCAGCCTGGCCCAGCTGCTGCTCAGGAATCCTCACCCCCAAAATGCTCGGTGTGGTTCTCACTGGACGAGCAGGAATTGCCATCACTTGTAGCACCTCTCCCAAAAAATAATTGGGAAAAGCCCTTTTGATTTTGGCTTCAGCAGCAGGAGCTGCTGTGAGCTGTGACTCACGGGTGTTCCCAGCCCCAGCGGGAGAACTCTGTGCTATTTCTGTTTGGGCTCTGCTCCTGTTCCTCTGCTCCCCTGCCTTTCTTACTTTTCCCTCCTTTTTCCTGAGCCTTTACCACTGGGAATGTCTTGTGTCAGGTTATATTCCTGCTTGCTCTCTTCCCTTCTCTTAATTTCTCCTTTTTTCCTCCCCTACTGAACAAGTCAGTCATGTTCCATTAGCATCTCCTCTCTGGGCACGAGGCTGGCCCTTTGTGTCCCCCTTCCTTCCCTCCTGCTCGCTGCATCCATGGATTCCTCTGCTTTAACCTACATCCATCCTTCAGAGGGAGGAGCATCCTCTGTTGATATCAAACCTATTGTTCCATCTATTTTAAACAGAGAAGAGCTGTAATTTGGGCTCGAACACAGAGCTGGGAGGTGAGAGGTGCCAATTCCAGCTCTGGAGGTTGCTTGGCATGGATTTGCCAGCTGCTGAGCTGCATCCCCAGCATCTTGTCCATAAAAATACGGGAATTTCCCCCTCTTTCATGGAGTGCATGCAGCGCTGGGTGGTGGAAAAGCAAACTAAAGGTGCAGAGGAGCTTCAGGAGCAGCCGTGGTGCTGTTCCTGGGTCCTGGCTGCAGGAATTCCCCTCAGGCTGGGGGACACGCGGGTGTTGTGTCCCTTATCTGTGTCCAGCCCCCCTGCTGTCCCTCCCTGTCCCCCTCCCGTCCCCCTGTCCCTCACTGTCCCGTTGTGTCCCTGCAGACCCCGGCCCGGCGCAGCCTCCGCCACCTGCAGAAGGAGTGACTCCCCCCCCGGCCGGAGCCCCGCCGGCCTCAGCCGCTCCCTAAGCAGCCAAGCACGGAGGAAGGAGCTTCCACAGCAGCACAGTGGTGACCAAAAGAGAGTTCCTCAGTTCCCTTCTGTTCCCCGGGGAGGTGTCCCCTCCTCTCCGGCCGCGGGCGCGTGCTCGGCGCGGCGGCGTTCCCTGGGGAGAGCTGCAGGTAGGGATGCCAGGAGTGCCTCCGTGTTGCTGCTGGGAAGTCCTTCACCCCTTGGCCTGCTTGCCTTGCAGAGCTCCACGCTGGTTTCCTTCCCCTTGGTGCTTTGAGCTTGGGCTTCTCCCGAAGGGTGAAACCATCCAGGTTTTAGGGCAAGAGCTGAGCTTTAGGATGAGCCCATCCCGGGGTGGTTGGGTGTTCCAGGGTCTCTGGGCAGAGCGAAGCACCAAGAGGAGAGGCCAAACCAGGGCTTGGAGCAGGGCGTGCTGGAGCAGGGGCACAGCCCAGCAGCCCTGCCTGCAGGGATTCCTGGTGGCTGCAGCCAGAGCTGCCTCTAACTTATTACAGGAAATATTGATCCATGGGAATGAGACCAGGAGTGAATCAATCAGAATAAAACCACTCAATGGTAGGAGTTCTCTTGCTCCGGATTTTACCTTTCCTTTGCCTCTGGAGGTGGTAGTTGGACCTTCCCTGAGTAGTTCGGTGCAGTAGCCAACTGAGGAATAACCCCCATTTTTAGTCCCTCTTTTTGGAGCATATACTTTGTACTTTTTAAAATGAAGAAAACAAACAAAAAAGAAAAAAAAAAAAAAAAAGTAGGTAGCGAAGAAGTGCTAGAATTTGGGATTGGGTTGGGATGGCTGGGATGGGAATGCCAGAACTACCTCTGGACGGCCGGGACAGCTCCTGTCCCCCCACTGCAGCTGGAGGGCTGGGGAAGGGAGCAGCTGCAGCAGGCAGGCTGGGAGCACTCCAGAGCTGCTGCTGCACACCTCCAGGCTGCCAAAACTTGGGCAAAAGTCCTGCAAAAATTCCTTTTCTGCCCGTGGTTCGGGTTCTCTGCCCTCCTCCTGGCCCAGGAGCGTTTGGGGTTGCCCTGCCGAAGGTCTGGGTGCTGCTCCTTGGTTTCAGGGGTGGCTTTTGTCCAGGTGGCAGTTGAGGTTGGGCTGGAGAGAGGCTCCCAAAAACTCTGGAACCTCCAGAAGCGCTTCCAGCATTTACAAACTGAGGCTTTGCCAGGTCTTCCAGCAGGACTCCACGGCGCAGAGCGGCCGGGGCCTTCCCTTCCCCCTTCCCAAGGCTTCCTTCCCCTCCAGGGTCTTTGGGGTGAGCGTGGGATTTCTGGTGCAGCCCTTAGTCCAGTTTAGAGTAACCTCAGGTTGTTTTTAGCGTGAGCAGTTCCCAGGATCCAGGTGGAGACTATTTTTTACTGTCCTAGTGCTGATCCTGCCGAGGACCTGGGTCCTGGACTCTGTTTTGTTTCTGTATAAATAATCCCTGTGCCCATTTTTCACCTGATCTCTGTATAGGGCCGGTTTGATTCCTGCAGCAGCCACCCAATTTTGTGAAATAAAAGCAAAAAAAAGCGGTTTTTGTACAAAGCCTGTGGAGTTTGTGAAGTCTCCTTTGCTTTTGTGTGTGGGAAGAGCTGGGAATTGTTGCTGTGTGGGAATTGGGCTGGGTTTGGGCTGGATGTGAACTCCGGAGCAGCAAACACAAAACCTCAGCTTGGGGGGGCATGGAAGCCATGGGAGAAGTGCAGACCCTTCCCACACTGGGAGTGTGCTGGGGGACAGGTCCTGTCAGGATTTCAGAGCTCAGGGAGTGGCTGCAGCAGAGCAATGCTGCATCCCTGCTCTTGGGGTGCTGCTTCCCACTTGGATCACGCTGGAGGGGCAGCTCTGATGTGCCAGGATGGGCTGGGAGAGCCCTTGTCCCTCTGCTGTCCCATCCAGCTGCTCTGCCAGCCTCAGTCCTGCTGCCTGTGCTGCTCTTCCCTGTGGTCCTGCCGGGTCCTCAGGCTGCAGCAGGGTCTGTGGTGTTGATGAAGCTGAAACCAGAATCCAGTCTGGATTATAGCCCAGCCATTCCCCCTGCCCCAGTGAGAGGCTCTGCCTCAGAAGTGGCACCTCTTCCTGGGCAAAATGCCCACGGTCCTTCATGCCCTGGGAAGGAAAAGCCCAGGGACAGAGCTGTGTCCCTGGGTTCAGGACACACCATGAAAGGCACATTCCCAGCTGGGAATTCCTCCTTGGATAGGCTGGGGGGTCTCCAGGGCTGGGGTCTCCTGCTGAACATCCTCTTGTGGGCTCCCTGGAGCTGCTCCCGCTCAGGGCAGGGAGAGAAGGGAAGGAGCTCGTGGATCTTTGCATTCCAGCAAGGCTCATCCCAGCAATGGTCATTTCTCCTCATCCTGAAGATCGTTTTCCTGAGGGATGCACAGAAAGTGGTAAATCATAACTGTCATTTTTGGAGGTTTTGTTTTTACAGACTACAAATCTTCATGGTCGCAGCAGCTGCCGAGGCCGGGCTGGGCAGAGCTGGGCTGAGAAGAATGGATGGGCTTTGGGATCCCAGCTTGGGAATGCTGCTGGGGGAGGGAGTGGCCAGAGACCCCCCCTGTGCCTGGGCTGATCCTCAGCCTGGGCTGCAGGAAATGGGAAGCCTGGGACAGTGGGAGGTGTCCCTGCCATGGCAGGGGTGGCACTGGATGATCCTTAAGGCTCCCTCCAATCCAACCCAGACCATCCTGGGGTTTTGGATCCCCACAGCTGGGCTGGGCGTGGGGTGGGGCCGGGGCTGCTCCTGCTGCTGGAGCAGGGAGTGGGATTTGGGGTGAATTTGTGGCTGTTCTGTTTCCTGGTGTGGGTTCGGTGGCTGGAGGGCAGGGTTAGGACAGGGCTCTGAGCTGAGTGTCTGCTCCAAAACCACTGCAGGGATCACTTCAACCCCAGGTGTCCTTAGGACAAAGGGAATTACCGAGTTACGTCCTCAGGGGCAGGAAATTCCCTGTCCCTCCTGCCTGTGCAGCTGGGAGGGGTTTGCATCCTCATCCCGGCACTGGGATCCTGCTGGGAAGGGAGAGGGGATCCCTGGGATTGGTGATCCTTGGATTGTTCCTCTGCACCACCGTGGGAGCAGGAGCAGGCACTGGCACAGCCTTTGTGTGCCAAAACCACCCTCAGCCTCCCGTGTGCTGCCTCGGATACCAGCTCCACCCCGGCTGCCTGAAAAGCTGCATTTTTGTCCTTTTCTGGCCGATTTAAAGCCCAAAATGCACCTTGGGGCTCGGGCAGAGTTTGAGGTGGCTGAGTGTGCGTTGTCCCCTCGCTGCTGTTTCATCCCTGTGCCTTTCTCACAGGAAACTTCCACAGGAAGGATTTGGAGGGCTGGGAGCTCCTTCTCTCCCTGCACAGGTTTTGCAGGAGTGAGTACAGGGCTGACCCCGGTGCCCACCCTGGATAATCCCCCCAAATCCCAGCAGGAAGAGACGTGCCCCAGACAAGGCTGATGGTGGCTCTGGGTGACCTGCCAAGGGCTGGGCCGTGCCAGGGCCGTGCCAGGGCCATCACTGCCCGCCTCTCCAGAACACTGTCCCCCTTTGTGTGCACCAGCTCCCCCCGGGCTGCCTGTGCTGGGAATTTCCCCTTCCAGAGGAGCCCCAGGATGCTGCCGGGGTCACAGCACGGGGACCCTTCCAGCAGCCCTCAGGGTGTCACCTGGAGAAACTGAGGGCTGATTATTGGGATTTATTTTCCCCCAAATCCCTCATTTTCTGTCTTTTTAAGTTGCAGTGTGACGAAAACAACCTGGTGTCCATCAGAGCCAGCAGCCTTCCAGGCTTGCTCCCAGAATTCCAGCCCGGGGATGGAGCTGGTGGTCCCCATGAGCCAGGACCAAGGATTCCCACCCAGCTCGGTGTCACTGACCCCACAGAGGCCTGGAGCCACCTCCAGGCACAGGATCAGCCCAGCAGGACCTGAGGGACATCTCCTCACTGAGCTGTGGTCCAGCTGCTGCTGGGGGGCCTCCAGACCCCCCAGGATCCATTCCCTGGCATTCCCTCGTTCCTCCCCAGTGCCACACCGGGATGCTGTGGTCCCCTGGGCGCTGCCCTGAGGGGGCTCAGGGTGCCCTGCAGGTCTGGTTCTCTCTGCTGCTCCAGTTTTGGGTCCCTCCTGCAGAGCTTAAACAGCCGTGGGAGGGACGAGTTCGTGTTCACCGCTCCGGGCTTAGCTCAGCGCTCCCCGAGCCCCTTCCTTCCTCTCGGGAAGAAGCTGTGTCTCCACTCCTGTCCCGTGAAACAGCCGCAGGAATGACAGCAAAGCCTCGGAGGTGAAATCTCCTCTGAAGGGCCTTTAGTGCCCTCTTGGCAAAATCACAGGTACTAAAGCGGCTCCTCCAGGCGGGGAGGAGGAAGGTGTGGGAGCAGGGCTGGCACTCCCTGGCTGATCTGCTCAGGGACAGCTTCAGTTGTCACCCGGGCACAGCGCACAGACACAGCAGCTGCTGGGCACAGCTGGCAGGGGGGGCGTGCCGTGGGTGCAGGGCTCCATCCTGGGATGTACAGCTCCATCCTTGGGGTGCAGGGCTCCATCCTGGTATGCAGGGCTCCATCCTTGGGATGTACAGCTCTATCCTGGGATGTACAGCTCCACCCTTGGGATGCAGGGCTCCATCCTGGGATGTACAGCTCCATCCTGGGATGTACAGCTCCATCCTTGGGATGCAGGGCTCCATCCCTGGGATGTACAGCTCCATCCTGGGATGTACAGCCCCATCCTGGGATGCAAAGCTCCATCCCTGGGGTGCATTTCCCTGCCAGCTCCTCTCCCCAGAGTTCAGCTTTACTCAGGGTTCTCCTTGCTCCTTGCAGCTCAGAGCTGCGACAGGTGATTATCGAACCTCTCCCACCTTTTCCCTCTGCAGCCCCAGGGGAATGTGGCTCAGGAATGGCCTGGAGAGCAGGAGCTGCCCCTCGGGCAGGCCCAGCAGAGCCAGGAGCTGCTCAGACAGGGACCCTGCCCCTGCCTGGGCCGGCTCTGCCTCTGCAGAACAAGTGCACACCACGTGCAGGTCAGGAAGGGTTTTTGGGAAGATCCCGGCTCCAGGACACGCAGAGATTTTGGATCTGTGCGTTCCTGTGCCTCCAGCCTCCTTCCCCACACTCCTCCTGCAATCCCAACACGGTCCTGCTTCGGGGGCTGTGAATCCCGGTGATTTTGATCGGCCGGGTGTCGGGAGCAGCCTGGCTCGGGCAGGGGGATGCGCTCCCGCAGGAAGGGAGGATGAGCGCGGCGAGGCTGAAGGTCGCTGCTGCAGCGGCTCCTCCAGGGATCGGTGTCGCGTCGGGATTGTCACCTCGGGCGGTGCCAGCCCCAACCGAGGACAAAGCCGTCCCTAAAACCCCGCCTGGCTGAGCTGGGCTCAGCACCAGGGCGCTGTGAGGCAGGGGAGGTTCAGGGGTCCCAGGGGAGCGGGCAGGAAGCACCGACCTCACTCCTGGCTTTTTGTTCCAGTTCTTCATTTTCTTTGCACTTTTCCAATATTGCTAATGAAAGAGATATGGGTAAAAGGTCATTTGAGCCTCTCCAGCACCCAGCTGAGCAGGGAGGGAAAGGCAGCCCAGGGAGAGGAATGGGAGGAACAGGAGCTGGGGGGAGATGCCACTGCCCCCCGTTATCCCCTGGGTCTGGATGCCCCTGGGAATCACCACTGGACACGGGAATGAGGCGATTCCTGGTGCTCAGCTGAGGGCAGGGAGCTGGGAAGGTGGGAAGGATCCCAGCCCAGCCTGGGCCTTTGTCTGTCTGTCCATCCCCACGGGATCCTGGATCACAATCCAGGCTGGCACCTGCAGCCGGTGGTGCCCCGAGGGAGGAGGGAGGTGTTGGTGTGGGGCTGCCCCACAGCCCCTGGGACACTGCCAGCCAGGATGAGCTGGGGTGAGGGACAGAGCTGAGGCTCCCCAGGGTGGGACTGAGCCAAGCACTGGCAGGAGCAGGGAGCAGGACTGGCAGCAAAGCCCCTCCCTTGGGATTTTGGGGATGCCCAGGTGGGGCAGGATCCACGGGCAAACTCCACTCCCAGTGCAGGGAAGGGGCTTGGGATGAGACCCCTCCCCAGATCCCTGCACGGATGGACAGGGCTCAGGGATTTGCTCTGGAAGGGCCCCACATGGTGGCTGCAATTCTGTCTTTTAAATCATCTTTAATATTCTGAGTAATTCCCCCAGGAAAACCCAGACTTGGCAACAACAGCTGGTTCTTCCCAAGTGAGGGAATTGGTGCTGGATTTCTCCTGCGAGTCCGGAGAGCCATCGCTGTCCCTCTGTCTGTCCATCCCGTCTGTCTGTCCTGCCGTGCCCCATCCCACCCTCTGCTGCTGAGGAAGCCCAGCCCCAGGCAGGTTTGTAGGAACGTGGTGGGATTTGCTCTGACCCCGTGCTGGGCTGGGCTGCTCCTGCCTTTGGGCACGGGGGTGGAAAGGCTGGGCCCCACTTTGCCCCTGCATGTCCTGGGCTCTGGAACTGTCCCAGCTGGAATTTCTGCCCGTGCACAGCACCCACTGCCCCCCGTGGGGGCTGAGACCCTCGGTCCTCCTGCCCACCCCAGCTCCGGAGCCGTGGGAGCAGGGATGGGTGTGGAGCTGTGGGGCTGCAGGGAATGTCCCTGTCCTTGTCCCCAGGAGCACAGGGTCTCTCCTCATGGGGCTCTGAACCCTGGGGTGGCGCTGGCTGGAGCCCCGAGGGGACCCTGAGGGTGGGAGGGGGATCCCCCAGGATGGGGAACACCCCAGGACGAGGTGCCCCCGGGCTCTCATGGCACGCTGCCCACACAGCCCTTGGAGGGGAGGAGCTGTGCTCCAGGACACCGCCGGCCTGGCCCGAGGGCTGGCACACGGAGGTGCCCAGGATGTGACCCTGGGTGGCTCCAGGCCTGGAGCAGGGTCTGGGGGTCCCTGCCAGCCCCACGAGCCTCCTGCCCCCAGGGGTTACTGTGGGTGCTGGAAGCTTCCATGGGCTGCTGCACTGCCCAGCCCCATCCCCATTCCTGGATCCAACCTCCTCCCTCCCAGCCCCCTCCCAGCTCCATCCCAGCCCCATCCCAGCCCCATCCCAGCTCCATCCCCATTCCTGGATCCAACCCCCTCCATCCCAGCCCCATCCCAGCTCCATCCCAGCCCCATCCCCATTCCTGGATCCAGCCCCATCCCAGCCCCATCCCCATTCCTGGATCCAACCCCCTCCATCCCAGCCCCATCCCAGCCCCATCCCCATTCCTGGATCCAGCCCCATCCCAGCCCCATCCCAGCCCCATTCCCAACCCCAGATCCCACCCGCCTTCCCTCGGCCTCCTGCTGCCAGCCCGGGCCCTGGCACTGGGACCCCCAGCCCGTGGGACCCCCAGCCCCTCCCAGCCTTTCCCAGCCGTCAGGGCCGTGTCCCCCCGTCCATCCGGGCGGCCCTGGCCCGGTCCCCTTGGAAACGCTTCCAGGCCCGGAAGCCTGGGGAATACTAAGCAGGTGCAGCCCCTTCAATCCCCCTTTGAGAGGGACAGAGCGGGGCTTGTTCCCAGCGTGGAGACGGCCAGGAGGGCCTGCTGGGGGAGAGGGACCCCCTGCCCAGCCCCCAGACACGGCCCGGGGCAGCGGGGGGACACCAGGGGGTCCCACTGGGACTGGGGGCACTGGAATGGGGTCCCACTGGGACTGGGGGCACTGGAATGGGGTCCCACTGGGACTGGGGGCACTGGAATGGGGTCCCACTGGGACTGGGGGCACTGGAATGGGGTCCCCTGGGAGCCCCCGGCACTGCCCCACAGTCCTGCAGTGGTGTGGGGGGTGTGCGGGGTGGGGCAAGGGATGCCTGATGAGGGACATCTGAGGTGGGATGCAGGATTTGGGATATGAGATGTGAGATTTGGGATATGGGATATGAGATTTGGGATGTGGAATGCAGGATTTGAGATATGGAATGCAGGATTTGGGATATGGGATGTGAGATTTGGGATATGGGATGTGAGATTTGGGATATGGAATGCAGGATTTGGGATATGGGATGTGAGATTTGGGATGTGAGATGTGAGATTTGGGATATGGGATATGAGGTTTGGGATGTGGAATGCAGGATTTGAGATATGGAATGCAGGATTTGGGATATGGGATGCCTGGGAGCCCCCGGCACTGCCCCAGAGTCCTGCACTGGTGTGGGGGGTGTGCGGGGTGGGGCAAGGGATGCCTGATGAGGGACATCTGAGGTGGGATGCAGGATTTGGGATATGAGATGTGAGATTTGGGATATGGGATATGAGATTTGGGATGTGGAATGCAGGATTTGAGATATGGAATGCAGGATTTGGGATATGGGATGTGAGATTTGGGATATGGGATGCAGGATTTGCTATAGGGGATGCAGGATTTGGGATGTGGGATGTGAGATTTGGGATATGGGATGCAAAATTTGGGATATGGGATGCAGGATTTGGGATGTGGGATGTGAGATTTGGGATATGGGATGCGAGATTTGGGATATGGGATGTGACATTTGGGATGTGGGATGCAGGATTTGGGATATGGGATGCAGGATCTGGGATACGGGATGCAGGATCTGGGATATGGGATGCAGGATCTGGGATACGGGATGCAGGATCTGGGATATGGGATGCAGGATCTGGGATACGGGATGCAGGATCTGGGATATGGGATGCAGGATCTGGGATACGGGATGCAGGATCTGGGATATGGGATGCAGGATCTGGGATACGGGATGCAGGATCTGGGATATGGGATGCAGGATCTGGGATACGGGATGCAGGATCTGGGATATGGGATGCAGGATCTGGGATACGGGATGCAGGATCTGGGATATGGGATGCAGGATCTGGGATACGGGATGCAGGATCTGGGATATGGGATGCAGGATCTGGGATACGGGATGCAGGATCTGGGATATGGGATGCAGGATCTGGGATACGGGATGCAGGATCTGGGATATGGGATGCAGGATCTGGGATACGGGATGCAGGATCTGGGATATGGGATGCAGGATCTGGGATACGGGATGCAGGATCTGGGATATGGGATGCAGGATCTGGGATACGGGATGCAGGATCTGGGATATGGGATGCAGGATCTGGGATACGGGATGCAGGATCTGGGATATGGGATGCAGGATCTGGGATACGGGATGCAGGATCTGGGATATGGGATGCAGGATCTGGGATACGGGATGCAGGATCTGGGATATGGGATGCAGGATCTGGGATACGGGATGCAGGATCTGGGATATGGGATGCAGGATCTGGGATACGGGATGCAGGATCTGGGATATGGGATGCAGGATCTGGGATACGGGATGCAGGATCTGGGATATGGGATGCAGGATCTGGGATACGGGATGCAGGATCTGGGATATGGGATGCAGGATCTGGGATACGGGATGCAGGATCTGGGATATGGGATGCAGGATCTGGGATACGGGATGCAGGATCTGGGATATGGGATGCAGGATCTGGGATACGGGATGCAGGATCTGGGATATGGGATGCAGGATCTGGGATACGGGATGCAGGATCTGGGATGTGGGATGCAGGATTTGGGATGTGGGACGCAGGATTTGGGATGTGGGATGCAGGAGTTGGGATACGGGATGCAGGATGTTGGGATGTGGGATGCAGGATTTGGGATGTGGGATGCAGGATCTGGGATACGGGATGCAGGATCTGGGATGTGGGATGCAGGATTTGGGATGTGGGCTGCCCAGCACAGGAGCTGGGGTGCACAGGGCAGGGTGCCCGGTGCAGGATGTGCAGTCCCCAGGCAGTGGAGCAGCCATGACGGACACATTCCTGCGCTGCAGGTGCAGGTGTCCAAGGACGCTGGGTGACCTTGGCAGGTATCCATGGAGCCAGCGGCGCAGGGACAGCCGAGCAGCGGCTGCTGTCCCACCCACGGCCCGGGCTGAGTCCCCGGAGCTGCCCGGGCTGTCCCCGGTGCTGTCCCAGCCCTCCCACCCTGCGGCGGGGGGCCCGGGGGTCCCTGGTCACCGCCGGCCCGGGCAGCCCGGAGCCGTTCTCCTCTCCCGGCTCTTCCCGGCTCCATCCGGGCAGCCCCCTGCCCACCCTGCCCCCCAGCCCACGGTGCCCGCGGGGACAGGCCACTGGTGACAGAGGCCGTGGTGGCAACTGGACCAGGCTGGCACTGGGGGCGATGCCAGCGCCGTGGGGCAAGGAGGGTCCGAGGGGACACTGGGGGCTCTGCCGGGGGGGCACAGCCCCGCCCGGGGCCAGAGCCCCGCCGTGCCCCCCGAGTGGGGTGTGGGCGCGGGGCGGGATCCCCCCAAACCGGCTGGGGATGCTGGGAGGGGATCCCGGTGCCGGTTCAGGGGGGGTCCCCGCCCCTTGCAGAGCAGTTTGGGGGGGTCAGAGAGCGCTGCCGGCGCGGGGGGTTCCGGGATGGGTTCCCCCTCTGCTGGGGGTGCCAGGACGTGTCCCCCCAGGGATAGTGGTCAGAGCAGTTTGGGGGGGTCAGAGAGCGCTGCCGGCGCGGGGGGTTCCGGGATGGGTTCCCCCTCTGGGGACGTGTCCCCCGTGTCCCCCCAGGGATAGTGGAGCCAGGGTGTGCCCTCTGTGTCCCCTGCCCCAGGGATGCTGGTGCCGGGATGTGTCCCCCGGTGTCCCTCCCCGAGGATGGCTGGGGGTTTCCGGGGGTGTCCCCCCGATGCTGTGAGCGTCCAAATGTGCCCCCCGGTGCCCCCAGAGGATACCCATGCTGGGGGTGCCAGGATGCGCGTCCCTCGGTGTTGGGGGCTGTCGGGATGTGTCCCCCGGTGTCCCCCTCCGGGGATGCCGATCCCGGGGGTACCGGGCTGTGTGCTCCCGATCCCGGGGTACCGGGCTGTGTGCTCCCGATCCCGGGGTACCGGGCTGTGTGCTCCCGCTGCTGGGGGTCCCGGGATGCGCCCCCCGGCTCTGCCCGCGGGGTGCCGGGGGGGTGCCGTGCCCGTGCCCGTGCCCGTGCCCGGAGCCGCCGGCTGCGGTCCGGGCGGGGGCTGCGGGGTGCGGGGGGGATCCCCTCGCCGGGCTGGATCCCGCTGCCGGGGGCTGCGGCCCCGGGGGAAGGTGGATGCCCCGGGCGGGGGGCTGGATCCCGCTGCGGGGGGATGCTGTTGATCCTGTTGCCGGGGGCTGGATCCCCTTTATGCGGGGGGGCACTGCAGGAGCCGGGGAAGGGCTGGATCTCCTGGCAGGGCGGGCGGGATCCCCTCGGCGGGGCCGGATCCCCTTGGAGCAAGGGCTGGATCCGCTTGCCGGGGCCGGATCCCGTTGCCGGGGCTGGGTCCCCTCGCAGGGCGGGCGGGATCCCCTCGGCGGGGCCGGATCCCCTGCGGCAGGGCTGGATCCCCGTGTGTGCAGGGGGAGCGTCTGCAGGAGCCAGGGAAGGGCTGGAGCCCCTTGCAGGAGGGACCGGATTCCCCTGCAGGGGCTGCATCCTCTCGGGATTATGGGGTGCACTTGCAGGAGCCGGAGGGGGGTGGATCCCCTTGGAAGGGGCCGGATTCCATTGCAGGGGGAGTTGGATACCCTTGGAAAGGGGCTGGATCCCCTTGCAGGGAGCTGGACCCCCTTGCAGGGGCGGGATCTGGGTCTGTGTGTGGGGCGCGCTCGCAGGAACCGGGGGAGGGCTGGATCCGCTTGCAGGGGGCTGGATCCCGGCTGGGGAGGGCTGGATCCTGCCGAGCGTCCGGATGGACACGCAGGAGGCAGAGAGGGCTGATCCCCTCGGAAGGGGCCGGGTTCCATTGCAGAGGGGCTGATCCCGCCGCAGGGGCTGCTCCCGTTGTGTGTAGCGGCTGCAGCCGCAGCAGCCGGAAGGAGGGCTGCATCTGCTTGGGGGGGGTTGGATCCCCTTATGGGGGGCTGATTTCTTCTGGGGAGCGCTGGCTCCCCTTGCAGTGGGTGCTGGATCCGTTTGGGGGAGAACTGGATCCTTCTGCAGGGGGATGGATCCCCTTGAAGGGCAGCTGCGGGGGCAGGGCCGGGGAAGACTTGGGCTGGGGGGGGCTGTGCTGAGGGGGGGCATCACAGAGTTGGCTGTAGGGGCACCCACAGAGCTGGGGGCTTCTCTGGGGTTCACCCCATCAGTCCCCGGGAGAGGCTCAAGGATTCGGGGTGCAGCCCCCTCTGCCCCCCAGGTCCTTGTCGTGCATCCAGGTGGGTGCAAGGTGGAGCAGGTGGGGACCTGTTGGACACCCCCAGGCTCCTCCCAGGGGTGCGGGGGCACCTCTGACACCCGTTTCTCTCCTTGCCCCTCCCCCAGCATCCGCGTGGCCCCCCCAAAACTCCAGCGTTGGCGAGGGGAGAGCCTGGCAGGGCTCGTTGGAGAGCAGCCCCCCGAAATGGGACCTGGCGAGTGGAGACCCCCCGGGGGCACCCAGCAACAGCACCAGCGCCGGGGGGGCCGCGGCAGGACCCCAACTAGAGCCCCCCGGGGGGGGCGCGGCCACCACGGAGCCTTCGGCCGTGCCCGAGGGGTGCCCGGGGTGCGCCGGGGAGGGCGAGGCCAGCGCCGTGCCCCCCCGAGCCGTCACCTGGCCCGGGGACGGGGGCACGGTGCCGGTGGCCCTGGGCAGCCCCGAGGAGCCGGGGAGCGGTGACCGACCCACGCCGGCCTCCCCGCCCGGCCCGGGGGGCTTCGGGGGGCTCCCGGCCGCCCTGCCGAGCCCCCCCGGGCCCCAGCTCGCCACCGACTCTGCCGAATCCGACCTGCTGCTGGCGGCCGGGGGCTCGGCCGCGCCGCGGACCCCCGTGCTGGGCGAGCCCGGCGCCGTGCCCGCCGCCGGGGGGGACTCGGGGGGTCCCCCGGAGCTCTGGGCCGCCGCCTCCAGCCCGGCCCCGGCGCAGGGGGCCCGCGGCTGGACCGACCTGACGTGGCTGCAGGAGCCCGTCACCGCCGCCACGGGCCCGCCCGAGCCCCCGGCCGAGCGCACGGGCTCGGAGATCATCGACGTCGACTACTACGACCTGTTCGAGGGGGGCGAGGGACTGGGGGGCTTCCCCGGGGGCGGCCGGGGCGCGGCGGGCTCGGCGCGGCGCCGGGAGCCCGAGGGGGCGGCCACGCCCTGGGCGCTGCACGAGCTCTACGACGACTTCACGCCCTTCGACGACGCCGATTTCTACCCCACCACCTCCTTCTACGCCGACGGGGACGACGAGGACGAGCTGGAGGACGAGGACGCCGGGGCTGGCCGGGGGCAGCCCCACGGCCTGGCCGCGGCCCGGGGAGCGGGGCCCGCCCGAGAACGGCTCCGAGTGCCGGAGCGGCTACGTGCGGCACAACAGCTCCTGCCGCTCCCTCTGCGACCTCGTCCCCAGCTACTGCCACAACGGCGGCCAGTGCTACCTGGTGGAGAGCCACGGGGCCTTCTGCCGGTAAGGGACGGGCCCCGCGGGCTGGGGGTGTGGGGCTCGCCATCCCGGGGCTCACCGTCCCCTGCACCCCATCCCTGGGCTCACCATCCCCTGCACCCCATCCCGGGGCTCACCGTCCCCTGCACCCCATCCTGGGCTCACCATCCCCTGCACCCCATCCTGGACTCACCATCCCCTGCACCCCATCCCGGGGCTCGCCATCCCCTGCACCCCATCCCGGGGCTCACTGTCCCCTGCACCCCATTTCAGAGTTTTCCATCCCCTGAACTCCCTCCCCAGGTTCTCCATCCCCTGTACCCCATGCCCAGTGTTCCCACCCCTGCACTCCATCCCCAGGCTCTCCATTCCTGTGTATCCCATTCCCAGTCCTTCCAGCCCTTGTGCACCCCCACTCCCAGTCTCTCCCTACTCCATGCATCCCATCCCTGGGCTCTTCATTCCCCTGTACCCATCCCTGGGCTTTCCACCACCCATGCGGGCTATTCCCAGTGCTTCCATCTCCCTGCAACCCATTCCTGGCATCTCCACCCCTTTCACCCCATTCCTAGTCTGTCTCACCCCAAGTACCTCATTCCTGGGCTCTCCATTTCCTCTGCCTCATCCCTGGGCTCTCCATCCTCCCGGCCTGGCATTCTCAGTGTTTCCATCCATTGTTACCCCACTCCCCATCTCTCCATCCTCCATGCACCCCATCCTTGGAGTCTCCTTCCCCTCACACTCCAGTCCCAGGCTCTCCATCCTCCATGCTCATCCCTGGGCTCTCCATGCCCCTGACACCCCGTTCCCGGTTTTTCCATCCTTTTTCATTCCATTCCGAACCTTTCCACCCCCTCGGCACCCCACTTCGGGCTCTCCATGCCCGCAGCCCCATCCCCCGGGATGCAGGGGGGTTTCCCTGCCCCCCGGGCGGCGGCTGCCCAGGAATTAGGTCAGGGCCGAGGCTGCGGGCGGCCGCGCTAATCGGCCCCGGCAGATTGCTCCGGGAGGCCACGCCGGCTGTGCCGCACGCACCGGGATGTGCCCTGCGGCTGGCACCGAGCCCGCCCGCCCTGGGGGACCCCTCCCCGGGGGGGACCCCTCCCTGCTCCCGCCGCCGCTGGGGCTGGAAGCCGCCGGTGCGGGGGAGACCCCGACCCCGCTCCCGGCGTGCCCCAGTGTCCCCCATCTCGCTCGGTGTCACCCCCCTCGGGTGTCACCCCCTCGTCCCATCCCCCTCAGACACCCGTAACCCCCGCAGGTACACACACCGCATCCCCCGAGGATGCTCTGGGCACGTTTTGGGCGCGGGGGGACGCGTTTTGGGGCGGGGGATGCCTCTGACCGCGTCCCCCGGCAGGTGCAACACGCAGGACTACACGTGGCACAAGGGCACCCGCTGCGAGTCCATCGTCACCGACTTCCAGGTGATGTGCGTGGCCGTGGGCTCGGCCGCGCTCGTGGTGCTGCTGCTCTTCATGCTCACCGTGTTCTTCGCCAAGAAGCTCTACCTGCTCAAGACGGAGAACAGCAAACTGCGCAAGACCAAGTGAGTGACGGGCACACCCCGGGCCGGCCCCGCGCCCCCTGCCCTGCTGCTGCCAGCCCGTCCTGCTGGCCTCGACGGGACCCCCGGTGCCGCCGGGGACGCGCTGGCGGTGGGTGGGAAAGCTGCCGGAGGCGGGAGACGTGGCTGTGGCTCCTGCTCCGCGGTTAATCCCTTAAAGCTGCTCCTGACTGGCACCAGTTAATCTGCTTCGCTGGGAGCTGGGGACACCGGCTGGGCGGCCATCGGGGACGCTCCGGCCGGGGACAGGGATGGGGGGTGACAGGGAAGGGTTTGGGGTCACCCCCCCCCCGCCCCAGCCACTGCTGGCCAGCTCCTGGAGCGGGGAGGAGGGAGCCTTCCCAGCCCGGTCCCTAATGAGCTGTTAATTAGTGTGTGGAAATGCCAAGTGTAATTAGCAGGGAGGCTCCGTGCCAGCTCCCGGGTCTCCCTCTCCAGCCCTGCCCCGGGCTGCCCTCGCTCTCCTGCCCAGAGCCCAGCTACCCCCAAAGGCCCAGAGCTGGGGGCACCCCAAAATGTCACACTGGGCTCCTTTAGCCCCAGCTCAGTCCCTGGGGACATTTAGTCCCCAATCCTCCAGAGTTCAAGACATTTGGGCCCGCAGACCTCCATCTCTGTGCACAGTAAGTCCCCAAGGCCCCAGACTTGGAGGCATTTAGCTCCCCAAATCCTCAGAGCTGGGGTTACAAAATCCCAAAGCCCCAGAGCAGGGAAGATTTATCCCTCCAAAGCCCTTAGATCTGGGGGTATTTAGCCCAGACTTCCATCCCTGGGCACACTTACCCCGCAGACCTCCAGCGCTGGGAACAGTTACCCCCCCAAAAGCAGGGTCACCCCAAAACGCGGGGGGGCTTTGTGGGGGTCCTGCTCTCAGCCCTGCTCTCCTGACCCCGCAGATACCGCACCCCGTCCGAGCTGCACAACGACAACTTCTCCCTCTCCACCATCGCCGAGGGCTCCCACCCAAACGTAAGGAGCTGTGTGGCACTGTCCCCCCGTCCCTCTTTCTGTCCCCTCCTTGTCCCTCTGTCTGCTGACCTCTGAACCCTCCGTGATCCCGTGATCCCCATCCTGCCATGGTCACAGTTCTGTCCCCTCACTGCCGGGTCTCCACTGACCTAAACTGGACCTAGGCCGGGCAGGGGGGCAGTGTCACCCCGCTGTCCCTTCCCCGTCCCCTCCTGCCTACGTGGCTCCCCGGGAGCCACCATCCCGAGCTCCCGATGGCTTTGGCTCCGTGTGGGGGTGGCAGGGGTGGCTGTGCCGGATGCTCAGGGAGGGGACAGCCGGGGCAGGCGATGCTCCCTGGCTGCAGCGTGGCCGGGCAGGAGCAGCGGATGGCTCCGGCTGCTGGAGGATGAGACGCTCCGGGCTGCTTGGGGGGCACCCCCCGGCGTCCCCAGGATCCCCCTCCAACCTGCTGTCTTTCGACTCGGAACAGAGAGAAGCCAAGGGCTTTGCGGAGCCGGAGGAGGAGCGTAGGTCCCTTTAGCGTTCCCCTACCCACGGCCGCTGTTCCCCGTCTTCCGACCGCCTTTAGCAGCCCTAGCGTCGGCGCGGCCCGGCCGCCCTGGCAGGAGGCTCCGGGGCCGGCTCCCTCCCCGCTGCCGAGAGGATGAAGCTCGGGATGAACTCGGTGGCGCTCCCCGGCGTGTCGCCGGGCGCTGCCACATCCCCCGGAGCTGGAGGGTTCGGCACACGGTGCCTGGGACGCGGCAGCACTCTGAGGATGAGGAGGGGTCGGCAGGGTCGGCACCCCCGGGAAGGGGTTTTTGGGGATGCTGCAGCCAATGGCACCAGCTCCGGACTGGCCGGGAGTCACTGCCCAGGAGAGGAGAACCCTGTCCCTGTGTGACGCCGGCCCTTGGCTGTCCCCGTCCGTCTGCCGCTCTCCGCGTGGCACCGGCAGCACCGGAACCACCGCGGCCCGCCCTGGCAGCCCCCAGGCCCGGGCTCCTCCTGCCCCCCCAGCGGGGCCGTGCACAGGCCCCCCGTGCCCCCCGTGCCCCCGAGCTCGGTGCCGGTGCCGGCGGGGCCGCTGCTCCCGGGGCGCGGGGCAGACCCGGGGCGCAGCCCGGCCCCGGCGCGGGAGGATGCTGCAGCGGGGGAACCTCGGGAAGAGGCGTGCCCGGCTCTGCCAGCGGCGCGGGGGCACCGGCTGTACGCTGAGGAACCGCAATAAAGCCAGCCCCTCTGGGCTCCTGCCAAGCGCCGCCGGGACTGGCTGCTTGTCGCGGGGACGAGGCGATGCGCCGGGCCGGGAAGAGGAGTCGGGCGGGAGCGGTGGGCGGATGGCCGGGGGATGCGCCCGGGGCTGGCACGGGCTCCTAGGCTGGCACAGCTCCTGGGCGCTGTGGGAGCCGCGGGAGCTGGGGACGGCGTCACCGAGGGGGGGGTCGGACCCTGTCCCCCCGCTGCGAGGTCCCCCCGTGCCGCCATCTGAGCTGGGAGGGGACATTTGTCCGCCCGGTGGCTCTCTGCAAGGGGACGTGGGTGCCCTCAGTGGGTGTCGCCCCATCACGGCCCTGCCCTGACCCCCCCGTCTCTCCCGCAGGACGATCCCAGCGCTCCCCACAAGCTGCAGGACTCGCTGAAATCCTGCCTGAAGGACGAGGAGCCGTTCAACATCCACAACTCGACGTCGCCCAAGCACGAAGGCGGCAAAGGGGAGCAGGACGCGGGGGAGCTGAACTGCCTCCAGAACAACCTGACGTGAGCGGCGGGGCCGGGCGGCGGGGCCCGAGCCAGGCTCCCCCCGCGCCGCCGCCTCTGCTCCCGCCCCGCGTCCCTCCCGCTCCGTGGCATGCTTTGGTGTGTTTTGTACCGAGGAAAACAAAAAAAATTTCCGGTAATAATTCGGCCGTGTCGTGGGGGGTGTTTGGTTCGTGCTCCGTGTTTCTCGCTTGGGTTCGTTCCGCGCTGTGATTTCTAAACCTTCGCCGTTCCGCAACTGACTTTTTTTGTACTTTTGCCCCACTTTTTTTGAAATACAGGTAAAAACAACAAAAAAGGAGGGAAAAAAAAAAAAGTAAGATCTTGAAATAAATAAACCTTTTTTTTTTTTTTTTTTTAAAGTTAAGCCTCTTGCCAGTGCCTGCGATCTCCCAGCATGGCCATTCATGCCTCTGGGCAGGGGTGCAGCCCCTGCTTCCACAGGGTCCCGTGTGAGCGTCACCCGGGGGTGGTGGGTGCCTGGTCCCCCCTTGTCACCCTCTCCTGCCTCTGCCAGGCCAGGGGTGCAGCACATCCTGCCACCCTGGGCACGCCTGGGAGCAGCTGGGACACCCCGGGATGTCTGGTGGAGGTGCCTGGGCTGCTCCAGGGTTTGCTCCGTCCCTGTCCCCATAAGGTCCCCCCAAACAACGTGGCTGCACACGGGGTGATGGCTCCCAGCCACTCCTGCTCCAGCAGGCTCCTTCAGTGGAGGTGCCCAGGACGGGATTTGGGGTGAAATGCCCCAGTTATCACCCCCCAGCTCCCAGTTTCCATCTGCGTGGAGGAGAACCGGTGCCACTGTCCCAGTGGTTTGGCAAGGTCAGGCCGGCCCTGCCGCCGTCCCCTGGCTTCGAGCATGGCACAGGGCTCTCCCCAGGGACCCCCAGCACTCCCACCCACCCTCCCCTCGTGGCTCTGTCTGCTTCCAGCAGGAACCGATTTCTTCTGGAGACAGATTCACCCACGTGGCAGCCTCCGGGTTCCCTGGAGAGGACACGAAGCCATTGATCACCACATGGGTTAAGGGTTCATCACCACAGAGTTAAGGGTTCACCACCACACTAAGGGTTCATGACCACGTGGCATTAAGGGTTCATCACCACATGGTGTTAAGGGTTCACCACCACACAGGGTTAAGGGTTCATCACTGCATGGCATTAAAGGTTCATCACCACACAGAGTTAAGGGTCCCATCACCACACAGTTCAGTGTTCATTATCACATGGTGTTAAGTGTTCATCACCAAACAGAGTTAAGGGTTCACCACCACACTAAGGGTTCATGACCACGTGGCATTAAGGGTTCATCACCACATGGTGTTAAGGGTTCACCACCACACAGGGTTAAGGGTTCATCACTGCATGGCATTAAAGGTTCATCACCAGACAGAGTTAAGGGTTCCATCACCACACAGTTCAGTGTTCATTATCACAAGGTGTTAAGGATTCATCACCACACAGGGTTAAGGGTTCCATCACCACATGGGTTAAGGGTTCATCACCAAACAGGGTTCATGACCGCATGGCATTAAAGGTTCATCACCACAAGACTTAAGGGTTCATCACCACACGGGTTAAGGGTTCATCACCACACTAAGGGTTCATCACCACACAGAGTTAAGGGTTCCATCACCACATGGGTTAAGGGGTCATCATTAAACAGAGTTAACGGTTTCATCACACACTAAGGTTTCCATCACCAGACAGGTTAAGGTTTCCATCACCACATGGGTTAAGGGTTCATCACCACACAGGGTTAAGGGTTCACCACCACACTAAGGGTTCATCACCACATGGCATTAAGGGTTCCATCACCACACAGAGTTAAGGGTTCATCACCACATGGGTTAAGGATTCATCACCACACAGGGTTAAGGGTTCCATCACCACACTAAGGTTTCCGTCACCACACGGGTTAAGGGTTCATCACCACACAACTAAGGGCTCATGACCACATGGCATTAAAGGTTCATCACCACACAGAGTTAAGGGTTCCATCACCACACAGTTCAGTGTTCATTACCACATGGCATTAAAGGTTCATCACCACACAAAGTACCACACAGAGTTAAGGGTTCAGGTTTCCATCACCACACGGGTTAAGGGTTCATCACCACACAACTAAGGGCTCATGACCACATGGCATTAAAGGTTCATCACCACACAGAGTTAAGGTTTCCATCACCACACAGGGTTAAGGGTCCACCACCACATGGCATTAAAGGTTCATCCCCACAGGGCGTTAAGGGTGCAGCACCTCGGGGTGCGGCCGGCGCTCTCCCCGGGGCAGGGGGAGCCAAAGCCGAAGCTCTGCGCAGATCGGATGTTCCCGAGGCGTCCTGGGAGCCGCTGAATAACTAATTAATAATTAATTCTCGGCTTGCTCGGGAGATTAAGAACGGAGGGGCAGTGGCGGGAGCCGGCAGCCGATCCCGGCGGGCACGGCGAGCTGCTCACCGCTGTGGAATCCTCAGATCTTCCCCCCGGCTGCAGCATCTCTGTCGCCACGCTGCAACAAGGCTGCACTGCAGGTTCGGTCTCTGCCATCCTTCCAGCACGGAGCTCTAGGACAGGTAAAGCCGTGGATAAAGCACTGGGGACGTGGACACGGCAGTGAAAAGGGTGGGATGAGCAGAGGGATGTGCTGGTGGTGCAGAGAGGGGATGATGATGTCCGAGCAAACCCCGAGGACAGGTGGGATGTCCTGGCACGGGCAGAGGCTGGGTGTAAGATTCCCGTGGGATGGGAGGGAGGGAAACGGAGCTGGAGTGGGATGGGCACGGCTGTGACAGGAGAGGATCTGTGCTCGTGCGTGAGGAGAGGAAATGGCTGTGTGAGGACAGCGATGCCAGAGGGGATGGGAACCCCAGAGGGATGCAGGGCTGTGGGTGAGGCAGGGCAGAGGACGGAAGGGGCACTGCAGGGTGGGGAAGGCCACCCCCCATCTCCAGCTGCCCTCGGAGGGAGTCAGCAAGGTGGGATGCAGGGACACACGGGGTGGGGTGGGGCAGCCAAGGAGCGAGTCCAGCCAGGGCTGCTGGGATCTGGAATCCATCTGCTCCTCACGGGGATCCTCCCTCACGGCGCCTGTGGGTCTGTCCAGCCAGACACTCCCTGGGGAGACACTGCCAGGGTGTCACCAAGGCTCACAGTGTGCAGGTGAGGCTGGCACAGCACACTGGGGACAGTGCCACCATGGAGGGGAGGGTGACACAGCACAGCCCCTCCATCCCAGCACAGCCCACCCGCCATGGCTGGTGGCACTGTGCAGGTGGCACTGGCACAGCACATCGTGCACAGTGTCACCACGGAGCTGAGGGTGACACGGCACAGACCCTCAAGCCCGGCACAGCCCATCCATCCTGGACCTGTCACACAGAGGTGCCCACCTCGGAATGGTGCCCACATTCCCTCGCCACCCCTGTTTGTCCCTGCCAAGGAGCCCAGCGTGGCCGCTGGGCAGGGGTGGGACAGTGCCCTCCACAAAGCCAGGCAGTGGCTCCTCAGCTCCTGTCTGGGCCGTGAGGGATGACCCACAGAGGGGTCCTGGATTCAGGAGCCATCCTTGGCTGCAGCAGCTCGCCCCCATGGGCTGTAGGGACTTACTGGGATCAGGACCAAAGTGGGTCACGGGGATTCCAGCAGGTTAAGGATGCTCCTGCTCATAGCCAGGTTGGGAGCACGGGAGGGTTTGTCCTGTCCCCCAGCTCTGGGGCATTGCTCTGACCCCATCACTCCCCCGGGCTGTTCCCACTCCCCCAGACCCTACTCACCTGCCCGGTGTGCTCCTGCTTCCCCGGGAGGGCACAGCCTTTCTTCGTGCCGCTGCAGCCCCTCTGCCGCTGGGCTGTGTCCCTGCTGTGGCTCCCTTTGTCCCGGGGCCGCCAGCCCAGCCCAGCCCAGCCCAGCCCGGCCCAGCCCAGCCCGGCCCTTTCCGTCCTGCTGTCACCGGAGTCGGGGACAGGAGCCCGGCCCAGCCCAGCCCGGTCCAGTCCATCCCAGCCCAGCCCAGCCCGGCCCGGCCCGGCCCGGCCCAGCCCAGCCCGGTCCAGTCCATCCCAGCCCAGCCCAGCCCGGTCCAGTCCAGCCCAGCCCAGCCCAGCCCAGCCCAGCCCAGCCCGGCCCGGCCCGGCCCATCGGTGCCGGTCGGACACGGGAGAGGGCGAGGAGCCGGCGCCGTGCTCCGTGCTGCTGTCACCGGCCCTGCGGAGGAATTTGCCTCCAGCGAGCGAAGCGACACATGGGCTTTAATCACAGGCCCGATCATGGGATGCAGAGAGGCCGGAGCTATTAAATTTCAATGCTTGGCTGATTTGCTGGGAGGGGAGATGGGCAGCAAGGGCTGGCACGGGCTGCGGGAAGGGAGCTGGCATGGGCAGTGGCCTGTCCTCCTCTCTGCCGTCCTCTTTTCTCTCGCAGACACATAACAGGACCAGAGCCACGACCCCGAGACAAGGAGCCTTTCTTCCCTTGACAGGCTCCGGCTGCCTGAGACAAAATATCCGGAGTCGGGATTCATTGGGGGACATTCACCCAGTGAGCCCCAGTTCCCAGCCCAGGGTCCCCCTTCACCCAATGAGCCCCAGTTCCCAGCCCAGGGTCCTGATCCTCCCAGTGAGCCCCAGTTCTCAGCCCAGGGTCCCCATTCACCCAGTGATCCCCAGTTCCCAGCCCAGGGGCCCCCTTCACCCAATGAGCCCCAGTTCCCAGCCCAGGGTCCCCCTTCACCCAGTGAGCCCCAGTTCCCAGCCCAGGGTCCTGATGCCCCCAGTGAGCCCCAGTTCCCAGCCCAGGGTCCTGATGCCCCCAGTGAGCCCCAGTTCCCAGCCCAGGGTCCTGATGCCCCCAGTGAGCCCCAGTTCCCAGCCCAGGGCCCCCATTCACAGACCAAGAGCCCACATTCATGGTCTGAGCCCAGATTCACCAGCTGAGAGTCCCCATGGCTGGCCGAGTCCTCAAGGGCCACAAGTCCCAGCTCAGCCACCAAGCCTTGATTCACCAGCCAAGTGTCCCCATCACCATGCTGCTCAGGAGCACGAAGGGCTGGACAGGGAGGTGGCAGCAGTTCAGTGGTCCCCGTCAGCCCCCACACACCCCAAACTCTGCCTGATGCCTTCGCTGCAGGACGCTGCTCCCTTGGGATTGCAGATTGGTCTGCCCCTCCCTGGTTCCAGGAGCTGGCAGTGCCATGTCTGTCCCTTGTCCCCTTCTAGACACCTCTGAGGACATTTCCTTGCCTGAGGGCTGCCCCCACACCCTTTCCCTTGGTGAATTTTTGGAAGATGAGGCAGGCTGTGTCC